GTTGCTCAAAAACACTGTATTTTACAGTGTTTTTATGAAGAGGCGCAGGATCATTAGGGGTACTATATATGTGTGTGTGCGTATGTGTGTGTATATATAAATAATGTTCACACACCGTGACCCCCTCCCCCTCTTGAACTACCTGTCCACATATGCTGATCTACTACCTCCACCTTTTGAGATAGAATGAATTTTGTTTTCCCGTGCAAAACGAACTTTAAATACAACTGAATCCCTGTTTCGAGATAGTTTTAGAATTTGAACCTCTCTTCCCTTGAAGGGTCCTTTCGGAACACCGTCTAACAAGTTCAATTCCGGACCTTTCTTATGCAACAAAAGGGCCAGAATGTAAACCTCACAAATCGTATGTTGATTTCCTTGTAGAAATCCCTTGAATTATATTCGAGCAGTAGTCTCTATGTAATTGTTATTATCAAAAGCTAATTGAATTGTGCTCTTATTAGATTATATATTCAACACTTGGACTAAATTTGGGAATAAACTCCTATCTAGCTTCTTTTGTTAAAGATTAGTTTGAGTTATCCGAGCCTTTTTTTGTTTAACATTTTCATGTAGCTCCTATTTGGAAAGGATGTTCTTATGTAAGCGGTAATTGAACATAAGCACATTTGTGAAAACTCTATCCTTACTAAACTATATGCAAAATTATAATTCTAGTTGAAGTAAGATCCTATTTGGAAAGGGTATCATATTGGGACATTGTGGAGGAAACTATCGGGCTTTGGGGACCCACAATTGGAGATTCTAGACGTACCATCCCCAAAAGGCAGTAAAACCAGGGTCCATTGGGGTGGGGGGGGGTTGCATTTATACGTATATACACATACATATATATTTATATACATATATATGTATATGTATATACTCCCCCAAGAAACGAGGTGTACCAAGCGCGCTTCCAAAGACAAAACCCACGCCCCGCTTTCCGCGTTTCCGTGGGCGTGGGGGTAACCGCCCCGCGCGCGGTGTTCGGAGTTCGCGCGGCCCAGGTCCGTCGCACGGGAGGAGCTCGCGGAGATGCTTCGGGCCCTGGCGCCCTACATGCGCAGCGCGGGCGCCCGGAGCCAGCGAGCGGTCTCGACGAGGTTTCTTGCGCGCCCTTCGTGGTGGAACCCACGGAACATGGTCCCATGTTTTTTGGGGGCAAACTTTTTTCCCGGACGGTCTGGCTTCAATGGTGAGGGTGGGTGTCCTGTTTTACTGCTCGCTTGAAAAGACTATGGAGCATTTACTGGGGGAATCCCCCTATTGATCCCAGAGGACACCTTAGGGCGCCTTAGGGCGAAGGGTAAGCTTCCCACCACGAAGCATGGTTCAGTGCACAAAAGCTTCAGATTCCAACGGAGAAGTCGTCTTTCCAAGCGGGTTTGGTGCATTTCCTTGGAGCCTTGCGAGCACCCTGGCAGCAGATCCTTTGTGCGTGAGGATCATACGCAAAATGCGAAGTGGCAGGTACTTGTAGCCATCATCCTCAAGTCATGTGTCGGCGGTGACCCAACTAAGGGCCCATTCCCCATGTTTCATTTGTGTGTAGGGAAATCATGAAGGGGGGGCTTCACTCTGTTCTTTTCATCCAGAGGCTATATGGATTCGCGACTTCAGGGGCCGTCGCTGAATACTTCGCTCGCATGGCGTGCGAGCGAGCAACTGAGCAACGGCAAAGGCAATCCACCCGCAAAAATCTGGGTGACCTCACACGACCACACCCCAAATGGTGGTTTATGTGGGGAATAGCCCCCCAACCTTATTTCAGGTTGGTGAAACACATGTATTTCACCCGCACAAACACATCTCCCTTCCCCATGTACAGTTAACAGGGCTCCTTAAAAGATACATTTTGCCCATTTGAAACATGGCTTTTTCTACCAAAATAAAGGGAACCCACCATTTACAAGGCAATGTTCAGGTGTATAATGTAAGGATCCCTGTTTAATATCCCGCTAAAAGAGTCTCCAAGATTTACCATCGACAAAAACACGCCTCGCCCCGCGTCGCGCTTCGCGCTCGAGGCGCGCATCGGGATGCACACCTAGAGAGGCCAGATTTCCGATGGCAGGGTGTGTGCAGGTCTGAGTGGCACCGTCTATCGGGCGTACTGTCACGTTCGATACTAGTGATGGAGCTTCTTGTGCACAATCATGCACTTCACGCTTTCCTTGTGAAAGCTTTAAGAATTTAGCTCTAAGTCTAAATTCACTTTGTGGGGGCTCAAATGTTTGAGCAATCTCACGTTTACGGTGTGCCAGTTTACATCAGGCGCTCGTGGGTCATGTGCTTCAAACAGGTTGGCATGGTGACATGCATAAAATTTTGAAGCAGACGATATCCAAGGTAAGAGTCATAGGAATCCTTCAGCAACGGTCCCTGCAATCTCCACTTTCACGCGCCTCGAATGGGTTTGTCGCAAAATCGAGGGACCCCAGATTTGGTGGTTTTGCTTTGGTTTAAATGAGTTCCCTCAAAAACGACACCCAAATGGGTGTGTGTGTTGCGTGTTTTTTTTGTTTTTTGTTGGAAAGTGCGATCGCCTTTTTGACCTTGCTGCGGTTCGGAGATCGAACGTCCAACATGGCTCTCGAGAGAGGCGTCCGATCGCCTGTGCCGCAGGATCTACGCCCTGCAGAATTTGCATCCCCACTCTCGCGTCACCTTTGACGAGATCCTGGAGCACTTGGGAGGGCGGAAAGGGAAGTTTACTGTTTGTGCCTTTGACTCAATCTGCTAAGAGTCCAAGAGTCCACGAGGAGCCCCGCACTTCGCATTGCAGGAAGGTTGAAGTCTTGCGGCTCCTTTGAAATCAGGGCTTATCAGGGCCTTTGCGCTCTTTTCTTTATTGACATGTGCGTTTGGAAACTGAACTGTTGAATTATTTGCAAGCGAGGCTGGTTTTTGGTAATTACCGTGGTGACCTGTCTCGCTCACTGTTCCAGGGAAGAACCCGCCCGCTCCTTTGACAATTGAGCCCAAGTATGAGCATAAGACTCGAAGCTGGTAAGCTCTGCCTTTTCTGAGCCACTGTTGTGTCTTTAATATGTCTTGTGTAGCTGCTGGATTGCCTCTCCCGCGTTGCAAGCGCTGAAAACTTCTTTATATTTGTATGCACAATCCTGTGTCTTATCTGCACACACACACACACACGCACACACACACACACATGGCACGGTACACGTTGTCTTTCAGATGCAGTATATACAATTTATGTCTACATAAACTATGGACACACAACAATGCATACACATTTCGGGGTGCCAGAATGCAGTGGGCATGTCAATTGCTTTTCCAGTTTAACCTTGGAGCTCTTCCTCCAAGCTCTGTAGCCGCTTTGGCCCAGGGTTTGGAGACCCAAAGGCAGATGCAGATACCGTGGGATGGTTGACCATTGACCTCCCTAAAGTGGGATGGTTGAACTCCTATCGCATTGTGGGGAGCTCAACAAATGGAACGCAGTCATGCCCACTGACGTACTGGGACACAGCATGCAGCTTGATCACAGGTCGCGGGTGCAATCTCTGACCAGATTCATAAGACACCAACGTCTTGTCAGGTTTTGCATCAAGAGCAAACTGTATAGAACCGGCGCCTTTCTACTGTCGACTTTTCGATGAACATTAGCAAAAACTGATGCTTATCAAGAGGACGCCCAATGAATCACCATATGAATATGGGTCAAAATTAAATCACCAGGGGACCGCAGGTTTAGTCCTTGGTTCCATTTACCAGGGTTCCATTTTGGGTACCCATTGTTGACCCACAGCCATATCACGCACAACGTATTGCCGTGTTGCTTACACATCCGGTGCTTCGCCTACCGCCTGCCATGAGCAAGCGGTCCGCCCCTGCCTCCGGATTGCTTTGTATTTGAAGCTTTGACTGTTGTGGCCATGAAACGAGACACAAACGAAACAAAAAAGCAGGCAAGAGAAGCTTAGACACATTCCCCTTGCCATAAATTGGCCCGGATGTCCACCTGTTTACATTGTTTACATGGTTTTGGGCAGGGAACTTTATAATACCAGGCTTTGATTTTGACTCACATGATGTTTGACAGCTGGTTCACAGATGGGAGCAACTTAGACCTTGGACAGCTCCAAGCACTGAGAGCACCGTTTCCAGTGGCTGTCCAACCCGTGAAGCGGGCTTGACCAGGTCTTTGAACTGTCGACTACTGCTCTTTTGGTGAAGGGCCATTCTTCCTGGGGAGATGCCACGTAAAGGGCTTCTGGCTTCAGCCATAGCGTCCGGTATGACAACGATCGTTGCATGGGCATGGCTGAAGACGTGGTTCGCGTGGCTGAGCTGGGATCTGCTTGCAAGATGTTGTAACTAATCTGTGGCTGTGATGAACCTATTTGGCCTTCCGAGATCTCCGACTACAGTCGCATAGAATTTCGAGAGCAGACTCGCTTCGCCAGAAGTGGCGATTGGACCAAAATCCCCGTCCTCTTTGGGGTTGCCTTGGGACACACACACACACGCACACCCTCGGATTCAAATATTTTGTGGTTGTCGGCCCTCCGTACTTGACAGCTCTGCGTTTGACCGCCGGCTCCAGTTGGTCCTAGCCACCCACCCGGGGGAGATGCTGGGTTGAGCCGAGGCGATTTGGGCGACTGGTAAGAGCGGGGTGTTAACTGGGATAGGGCTTTACGCCCAACAGTTTGGTTCCTACAGTTCATTCCCCAGTTCACGGTCAGATTGCTTGAAACGCATGTGGTCTGAATTTGGAGGACGTTGTTAGTGTTTAAGGGACCTGAAATGGACACCAACCCTTTTCAGGAGTCTCCCTATTTTGGGGCCCAGGTGTGCCATGCTCAAAGCATCCTTTTACAGCGTCTCATCAATCTCTTATCAGGGTTTTGAGACAAAACCAATGTAAACACTGAGGGAACTATGGCCGTGACGCAGGGATTCGGAGCTGCAACGCCTCATGTGATTGTACGAGTCCATTCTGTTCTTCACCTTGATGCCTTTGTCAGGTCATGGGGGATCGTAGCCGCAGCCGCAGCAGAAGAAGGCGGGAAATGCACTCGCGAAGTGTTGGGAGACTTGCCAGGACAGGGAGGCGAATACTGCAACGGCATGAGCCCCACATTATGATCATATGCGCAAACGTGTATATAATACTTCCATTGGTCCATATGTGATCATGTATGTATATATCGTGTCGCCGCATCACTGCTTTTGCGTTCGCCCATGCCCTTAGCCTCAGCGAGGGTTGGCTGGCGCGCGCGTGCGCGTGCATGTGCCTTTGTGTGTACGTGCGCGTGGGCATGAGCGTGGTCATGAGCGTGGGCGTGCGCGCGTGTGGGTGTGCGCGTTCGCGGGTGTGTGTTTGTGCGTGTTTGTGTGTGTGTGTGTGTGTGAGTGTGTGTGTGTGTGTGTTTGTTTATTTGTTTGTTTGTTTGTTTGTTTGTGCGTTTGTGTGTTTGCGTGTTTGTGTGTGTGTTTGTGTGTTTGTCTGTTTGTGTGTGTTTGTGTGTTTGTGTGTGTGAGTGTGTGTGTGTGTGTTTGTGTTTGTGTTTGTGTTTGCGTTTGCGTTTGCGTTTGCGTTTGTGCGTGTGCGTGTGCGTGTGCGTGTGCGTGTGCGTGTGTGTGTGTGTGTGTGAGTGTGTGTGTTTGTGTTTGTGTTTGTGTTTGTGTTTGGGTTTGTGTTTGTGTTTGTGCGTGTGTGTGTGTGTGTGTGTGTGTGTGTGTGTGTGTGTGTGTGTTTGTGTGTGTGTGCTTGTGTGTTTTGTTGTGTGTTTTGTTGTGTGTGTTTTTTGTTTTTGTTGTTGTCTGTTTTGTTGTGTGTTGTGTTGTGCGTGTGCGTGCGCATGCGCGTGCGCGTGCGCGTGCGCATGTGCGTGTGCGTGTGCGTGTGCGTGTGCGTGTGCGTGTGCGCGTGCTTGTGTGTGTGTGTGTGTTTGTGTTTGTGTTTGTGTTTGTTTTTGTGTTTGTGTTTGTGTTTGTGCTTGTGTTTGTGTTTGTGTTGGTGCGTGTGCGTGTGCGTGTGCGTGTGCGTGTGCGTGTGCGTGTGCGTGTGCGTGTGCGTGTGCGTGTGCGTGTGCGTGTGCGTGTGCGTGTGCGTGTGTGTGTGTGTGTGTGTGTGTGTGTGTGTGTGTGCGTGTGTGTGTGTGTGTGTGTGTGTGTGTGTGTGTGTGTGTGTGTGTGTGTGTGTGTGTGTGTTTGTGTTGTGTGTGTTTTGTTGTGTGTTTTGTTTTGTGTTTTGTTGTGTGTTTTGTTGTGTGTTTTGTTGCGTGTTTTGTTGTGTGTTTCGTTGTGTTTTGTTGTGTTTTGTTGTGCGTGTGCGTGTGCGTGTGCGTGTGCGTGTGCGTGTGCGTGTGCGTGTGCGTGTGCGTGTGCGTGTGCGTGTGCGTGTGCGTGTGGCGTGCGTGCGTGCGTGCGTGCGTGCGTGCGTGCGTGCGTGCGTGCGTGCGTGCGTGCGTGCGTGCGTGCGTGCGTGCGTGCGTGCGTGCGTGCGTGCGTGCGTGCGTGCGTGGTGCGTGGTGGGTGGGTGGGTGGGTGGGCGGGCGGGTGGGTGGGTGGGTGGGTGGGTGGGTGGGTGTTTGTGTTTGTGTTTGTGTTTGTGTTTGTGTTTGTGTTTGTTTTTGTGTTTGTGTTTGTGTTTGTGTTTGTGTTTGTGTTTGTGTTTGTGTGTGTGTGTGCGCTTGTGTGTGTGTGTTTGTGTGTTTGTGTGCTTGTGTGTTTGTGTGTTTGTGTGTGTGTCTCAGTGCAGTTGCATGGCTGAGCTTGTTCTCGCATATGAGTTTTACAGAGAAAGCGGCTGGCTTGAATAGGCTGCAATGCAAAATAGAAAGACTAGAATGCAGCAGGTACCCTGCTGCCTGACGAATGCATAAGCATTGCAAGTCTGTGTGTTTCATGTTCTGGGGCCCTGCAACGGGTGCGCAAAAGGTATCCCAACCTCGGCACTTCACGCACGCCAGGGACAGCCGGGGCCGCGATGAGCGAAAAGACAGCCGCAGGCTTGGCTTACAACGGATTGTGCTCCCTACTGCGGAGCTTTCTTGGCGAGTTGGTCATTTGCCCAGATTTTCACAAAAGCGGTTAAAGCAGCACCAGGTCTTCAGTGTGCTTTTGGTGGTTTCTGCCTTGGCTTTGGTGTGCCAAGAGGGTCTTGGAGTTTACCCTTTCTTGGCCGCCAGGCGGGACAAGAGCCGAAGCCCTAGCCAGGCAGGGAGACGGTTGAGTTCGCTGGGCAAAGAATTTAAATGCACTTGCCTTGAGATGCCCCACCAAAGAACACGTCCTGGGCCGTTTGGGATGCTTTCTGTGGCAGCCAGGCTAGGCGGCTCAGTGCATGTTGCATCTTCCCAGTCCGTGTGGCTCTTACAGATCTTTGCTTTGCGGACGAATTCTGATAGCAGTCCCGCCACATTCTCGCCTTGTCCATGACAGCATGTTCAACGGTTTTCTCTTTAGCCCACACCATTCGCAGCATCAGAAACGTCTCTGTTTGTCAAAAGGCACAGCAATAAGACTTCAGACCGGCCCTGGCTGCCTGCCACGCCGCGGGCCGAGCGTGCGGGCGGACGGATGGAGGTGCCGGAGACGTTGCGCGCCAAGCTCTGGGCGGCGGTGTCCCGGAGCCGGGCAATCCGCACCAAAGAGATGCAGGCGACGAGGGAGATGGCCGGGAAGTGAACCACAGGGGCGCCAAATATCCGATATGTTTGACTGCCCCAAAAGGACACCTGAAAGTGGACAAGTTTGGAGCGGTTTTTCGGAGCGCGCGCTTATCGCCCAGCAAGCAAAACGCCCCAGAATGTCGCTTGTCTTTGGGAGGGCTGTTGATCGGATACAATGTATGTCGGACGGTGCTGAGTTCGCAAATTGCTGGGCGTCATGACCCCAACTTGTATCGACGCACGAGGGTTCAGCCCTTCTGTGAGCCGCCTAGCAGCAGGAAACACATAGTTTGAGCATGACCCCTCTGGAGGTTGTGAAAAATGGGACCCCGGTCTTGTCGTTGGACCCCTTTGTTTGTGTTCCTGTTTGACCAGGGCTTTTGGCGATATGCTTTGAGCTGTTTGCTGATATATGAGCGCCAAACCCCCCAGAAGCGCCATTTTAGGTGGTTCTGATACCTGGTTTTATTGAGGCTGTGGCAAAGCCTACAAAATAAGCAATATGTCTGAGCAGTTTCCAGTAGAGCCAACAGTCAATGTGCTTTGGGCGCTTGTGTCTGATGGCGGGTCCTACGTCGCGCTTTACTCGCACATGGCAGGAGGCCTGTGCCTTCTACGACTGCGTTCGAAAAGATGCGCGGAAGGTGCAGCCGGAGCTGGTTCCTTGGAGACACGGTCAACGTCCCATGAGGTGCCCACATCCGCTCTTTCCGCAAATCGTGCTGGGTAAGTGTACGTCTTCAACACCGTCTTCAGGTTTTGGCAAGGACTCATGTGAGCAGTTCCCAACCACTAGACTAGCATGGATCCCAAAAGGCCCTCATGAGAGGAATCTCCTGGGGAGAGGATCCCCTGCGTTCCCTCCTTTTGCAAACGCAGGATTTCCAACGGGAAAACATCACCCCAAACTAATTAGCGGCGAGCTGAACCCGGCCGAACACACCACTAAGAACCCCCGTCCCCCCTCCCCCGCCCTTTTTTTTTCTGAGGTGATCGATGTGTGCGGCGGCCATGGCGCGCTGGGCATGCTCTTCTTGGCGCTGCTCAGACTGCATGTTTGTCACTTTCGAACGAGCCAACGCGGCCATGGAATGGGGCAAACTACCGAGATCCACTCGAGGTGTGTGTGGTGTTTCCTAAAACCAAACAATATCCACTTTTGGTTCAAAGCTAAGCTGAGTTACCAGGATCAAACAAATTTCCGGTTTAGGAAAAATCAGGCAAGGTGGTTGATATCGCCGATTTGTCCAGATGTCTTCTAAACCAATGGTAAGGTCGCCCCTCAGACATGGTACCTATTGGAACCCTTCAATAAACTCGAGCAACATGGTTTCAGCCTGGGGCTTCCAAGTCCGCTCCGGCCATAGAAAGCTCGGCTTGGTTTGGGACCGAAGATGTTTGGCAGATGTTCCGCAAAACGGCATCGACCTCACAACACCAAAGAAGAAGAACCAGGATTCGGAATTTTGCCAATGCTGGGTTTTCGGTTGGCTCCCTGTTCGGCACCAAGCAAAGGTTGGAGACCAACGGCTGACGGAAGCGGATCTGTTTCATCGCCCGAGGCATGGCTTGGCGAAGGAGGCGCTGGTGATTGACCGTTCCGAGCCTGCCAGCCACAAGCAGTTGCGATGCTGGGCTGAGAGGCGCTTTAGGCTTCCTTTGAGATGCTTTTGGGAATCCTTTGGCTTTCCTTTTGGTTTCATTTGGGTTTTCTGTAAGGTTCCTTTCCAAGCTCCAAAATCAGGGCGCGCAATTAATATTAGGACCCACGACTGGGTTTTGAAGGGATGAACTATTGGGAACCGGCGCTCTTTTTATTACCAGCCTCGGCCGGTTGGTTGGTTGGTTGGTTGGTTGGTTGGTTGGTTGGTTGGTTGGTTGGTTGGTTGGTTGGTTGGTTGGTTGGTTGGTTGGTTGGTTGGCTCCCAGCATCCCTGATTACTTGGTGTATTGGCTGTGATTTGTTGCTAGGGTTGGTTGGCTGGCTGTCGAATGGCTGCGATTGGTGTTGGTTGGGGTTCACATTAGGCTCGGCAAAGGGCTGATATCCAGGGGGTGGGTTTTAAGGTCGCCTTTAGGTTGGTTTGGGCTGGCTTGGAGCTGATTTGCGCTAGGTTTGCGGCTCGTTTTTGCAGTGGCTTTAGGTTTGCTTTAGGATCCTGGAAAGCCGTATGGCCGTTGTTTTTTGGACGGAACCCGTATTTGGATCATTTTTCCCGTATGGCCATTTTTTGCTGGCCGGTGGCCGTATTTGGCCGTATGCAACCCGTATTTTTTCAACAAATTGTTGACAAAAAGCCGTAAATAACCGTATGGTCATTTTTTTGTGGCCCAAGCCGTATGGACAGAAAAAAACGTCACATATGGGTTTCCAGGATGCTTTAGGGTGTTGTTGTGCGAGTTGTTGGCTGGCTTGGGATTGGTTGTGGGGCGTTGCCCCAAACAACCAAAACTAGCCGCACACCTAGACATTTGCAGATTCATCAGCTCGCAACGCATGATGTATGTAAGTCAACGGATGCAACATGACTCGCTTTTTTCTTCTTGTGGTCGATCAGGACAGGCTTGGGATGAGTTCCTGCCGAAGTCAATTGCCTACGACCAGCGACCACTGCAGGAGGATGGGACTTGTGTTGAACAGACCAAGGCAGTCCTATCCTCCCCAATGGCGTCCTTGTGCAGTTGGGACATGTTAGTTTCTCTGCCTGTGAAGCGCCTTGAAGCCTGATCTCTTCCGGAGGTTTGTTTAGTCTTGCGGTTCGAGGCATCAACTGCAAAACAAAGATGGAAAGGGCAAGCTTCTTGCCCAGCCTATAAATAGAATTGTTAACGGCGCCCGTCTTTGCAGGCGCTGCCGTGCGCAGTGCAGGAGAAGAAGCGACTGTGCCTGGGCCAGCGTTGGCAGTGTTGCAATGGCTGGCTCCGGTGGGTTGCTCGCAATTGGCCAGAGGTCTGGGGGCTTTAAAGATCTGACCGTTTCACTCTGTTCCGGTGAGAAGCGATCACAGCATGCGATATTTCTTGTGACCCCTGGCTCTGGAACAAATCAATAGTGGGGGGGGGGCAGGGGCTCCCACAAACCAGGGAAAGAATGACAAGGGTGCGCCCGTCCGATGTCTTCCTGGCTGTTTTTGAAGGTGACAACTGGGCCAACGTGTTCCCCACAAGACATCTGGATAAGAACCATTCATCTGGGTTCCGGTTCGGTTCCAAATCCAGTAGTGCTAGGCAGAGAAACGCCTTTGGCGCCACTTCACATGAGGAAAACCGTGGCGCTCCGTTAATATCTCGCGAGGCTCGTGGTGGCGTGCCACGCCTGCCAGCACCTGGCACGCCAGATCATCGACTGCTGCCTGGGCGCGCAGGTGGCTTTTGCCGTGTGCCCTTGCTGCCCCAAGGACGGACGGAGCTGTGGAGCTGTGAGTGACGCGCTGAACAGCAGGTATAGCAGGTTCTCGTTGGGTCGCTGGCTCCGTGTCTGGACTTTCGCGTGCTGGGATCACTACTGGCTGGCTTTCCGGGGGATCAAACAACCAGTACACCAGCGAATTTGAGCTTTCCAAGCACCGGCGAGATTATATAGAGGTATTCCTCGAGCATGTGCGTTGGATTGCCCCTGCTGAGGACCATGGAGGACGCACCGGGAGATGAAAGTGAGAGAAGCGGGCGGAGAGCATCCTTGTGTAGCCTTGCGCTAACCTTAGTTTCCTTTTGGCGTGACTGGTCTTGAAGTGTTTGCCTTGTGGAAAATGATCGTGTTTGACCAACCATCTTCTCTAAGAGCCGAAGACCATCCCAGTAGCATTTGGTTTGGGCCTTCCTTTCTATAGCACTTGTTCGGCGAGATCGCAGTCTCGTACAATTGAAATAGCTACATGACCATTAGGTCAAACAAAACAGACACTGCGCCGATATTGGTGACTCTCACGGTTGCTCGCCTTCCGTCAGGAAGCATCCAGGCTGCAGCCAAAGCTCTGAACGTCGACTTCCCCACCGCAATGGTCCTTGCAGCACCTCGGAGACATGGCGCGGTTTTGGGCATTTGCCTCACCCGAAGGATCCCGCGATGTTTTATGGCCATCCGCTAGGTTTTTGCGGAAGCGCATTCGAATTGACCAAAAATAGACCAATTGGTTTGGGCCAGAGCTCGGAAGTGACGGTTTCACGTGTTGGACCACCAGTGGATTCCCCCTTTCGAAGTGGTAATCCAATTCCTGTCGAAGGTTTTCGGGAGCGGAAGAACTCAGGAGCTGGGCCGACTCTCGGGTTTGGGCTGCGCGGTGCACCTCCGCACCTTCGATGCAGAGGCTGGAAACGAAGACCATTTGGGTATGAGGCAAAACGGGCTGAAAGCCACGACTCAGTTGCCCCAAGAAAAGCACCCGGCCTTTTGACCTTTTGCTTTTCCTGCTTTGCCACTTGTCAAGGTCGCGAAAGGTTGATCATGGTTAATCATGTATTTCCAGGTCCTTTGGGCCAAGTGAGACGAAGGTCCTCGTGTGATTTGTGGGAATTTTTGTCCAGATAGGCAAGAGCCAGATCTCGCTAAAGACCGCTTGGCACCCCTGAGAGCAATGGATGCTCATGTCCGAGCAAGATTGAGCAGATCAGCAAATGCAACTCACACACGTCAGCTTTGTGTCCTTTGCTTCTCGCAAAGTGACTTGTGAAAGCCAAGAGATTTGCGGATGATTGCGAGAAGTCCCTATTGCAGCTGTGTTTTTGTGTTTGTTCACTGGGGCTCGACAGCCGACGATTGATTATTATACAGCATGTGTTGTAGGGGCCCTTGACGTCGTTTGTTTGCCGATTTTGAAGGGAAGGCCAAACTCCCGCAAAGGTCGCCAGCTTTTCAACTCACCACATGACCAAAGGCCCAAACCCCCCACAGCTTCCACTTCCTGGTTTCATGGGAATCATAGGCCTCTCTCAACTTTCATAGATTCAGCGCCATGTTAGTACCGCCACCCAGAGCCCTGTTATTACCACTTTCTCAAATTCGGGGCCTCTAGCAACCACCAATCGAATATCGGGGTTTTGGGCGCTCAGCGTGCCACTTCGTCGGAGTCGGGTGCAGATCTCTCCGCAGAATCGGGTGCTGCTGGGGCGGCCGGGTTTGGCCCTGGAGCGCGAGGCCAGGCCCCGACGAAGCGGCCATGGTGGGAAACACTCATGATGCATATAACATGTGATGTAGAATATAGAACATAGTCCCAACCAAGAAATCAACACTGGGATTCATGTTCTATATCATATACTTTGGTCATCATATGTTTTGGCGCTATGCCAACTTTATCCCGACTCTTTGCTTAGAATCCCTCGAAGTAGTGTCCGGATGAATCCGAAGGCATTGTGGGGAGGATTGAGCAACCTCTTGATGCATGGCTGATTTGAACATGGTGAGTTCCCCCAGGTTTGCGGTTCATTTAAGCCAATTAGATGGGAACACAGACGAGTGATTCCCTTGGCCGGCCAAGTGATTCCCAGGGCGAACGATCCGCGGAAGAGCGGCTGCGGCGCGCTTATGCAGCCCGACTTTGGTTGGAAGGTGCTTCCTTTGACTCGACCCGTGCAACTTGGGGTTCATTGGGACACGCAGATTTGGGTCATGTCCTCTACCTGGAAGGTGTGCCCCATTCTTGAGCCAATTCTTGCTGTAATTCATGCTGACCGTTTTTTTTCCACGCGGCTTGTGCCCTCGTGTTCCTTTCTTTCTTTTTAGCACTGATCAATCCCTCACCTGGGCATTGCTGTGGCGCACGGGGGCTATGATTTGGCATTTGGCCATTTGATTACGAATCATTGTGCACTTAGCCCGACATCAGTGGCCCAAAGCAGTCCCAAAGCGGGCTGTGGATGGGGTTCCAAAGCGAGTACCGTACTCTCGACATGCTTCCAACAGTATCAGAAGCTTGTGTGATCTGCTTGCTGTACAGGTGTGTTTTGTTCGAGGGTACTCGTTTTGGGCTTGTTTTAAAAGGAATTTCAAAAGGAAGCCAGCCCGAATGGGTGGACATAGTTGATGAGGCTTGTCCACAGGCTTGATACAATGCTTTGCCTTGCACAAGTAAAGCAACACGATTAGAATATATGCTTGGGAGCAAGACTGCATCCAACCTGCTGAAAAGTCATGAATCCAGTTTGTTGGTGTAGGCTCGCAAGCATGGCACAGCATGCTTAAAGCATGCGAGCTGGCCAATTGTAAAGACGCTGCATGTTCCATGGAATGTGACTTGCCGCGCTTTCCGTTCCATGACTGTCATGATGTGCCAGGGAGACCCCCACCCCCACCCCCCAAAAAAACGAAGAAAAGACAAGAAACACAAGTCAAGGCAAGTGGTTTTGCTTTGCTTCTCTCAGCCCTCAAGGTGCCCTCAAGTTAGCCCGGGCAACCAAAAGGTCTCCCCTGTGGGATCTCCCATTCGGCGACGAAGAATGCCACGAAGTTCCGAGCTCAGGATCGGGCTCACCACCCCAGCTCCAGCGAGGGACGCCGCCTGGCTGGGTCGACCAACGGAGGGGGACTGGTGTTTGCAGAGCGGGCATGAGGTGCGCTTCGGAACCATCTGTGAGAATTTCGGAGTGGCCACGATCGCGCAGATTGGATGTACTTGCTTGGTGTTGGGCTGGCTACAGAAGCACGGGTCGTGCCTCCAGCGTTGGCTAATCACCCTGAGCCTGTTGAGTGATAAACTTTGGTGCATTTTGCTTGGATGTTAAGACTTTTAGCAGGGGAGCAGAAAGCAATCAAGTAAACATACACAGTAGTGGAATCCTCCTTGGAAAGCGGTCACCTAGTTACCTGCCTTTTATAGCATGATGTTCCTTTTGCTTCTTTCGAGGCAAGCCACCAGGTCCAGGCAAAGTATCAACACCGACGACAAGCTTCACACGAAGATGTGTTTTGTTGTTGGTATTTGCACTTTCTGAAGCATTTTGAATGTGGGTGCCTGTTGTTGAGGAACTCTTCTGGTTGGTTCTGAATGGAAGCCCAAGCCAAACCATTGTACTCCCTCCCTGCTCCAAGGTGCTGCAGGTCTTTGGTCCAACCAGGACCGCCGGGACCAAGAGTCAATAAGGGATGCTGCTGCTTGATGATTCAAGCAAACCTTGGGTTTGGTTCTTACAAACCTTGTGAAAACCAGTTATGGGTTTACAGCACATATTTGATCTTCTATCGCAACGCAATACTAAAGATAAGCCCAAACAATTGTAAAGGTGGGAAGTCCTCGATGTTTCACGCGGATATGCCTAGGAGGTGGTGGAAGGCGAGCAGGAGCTAGCGAAGAAGATTGCAGCAGTGTAGGGAAGCCCAGACCAGAAGTCCGCTGCGGCTTTGTGTGAGAACCAACAAAACAAATGTGGCGGGTCAAAACCGTTTGGGATCCCATTTTGGGGTAGGCGAATTCACCACCCATTTTGGTCTATTTTAGTGGGGATTGGGATGTTCACTGGGGGTACGGGCTTTTGACCCATGGCCATGTGACGACCAAAATCCTGCACCAGTTGGGATGGATGAACTCCTATGAGCACTGGAAAAAATGACTACAAAGTGGTGCAGAATTTGAAGTGACGGAAAAGCTGGGATCGGGCCATCAGGTGAAGTTACTGGATGTTACTGGCCCGACATTTGTTTGGACTGAAACCTGGAGGTCTCAGTCTTGCAAGGCCACTGCTAGCCAAAAGCGAGGCAAGGTGAGTGCGGACCCTGAACAGCTTCCAACATGCAACGCTTGTGCTGCGAAGCAGAGATGATTCCTTCTCAACTGAAATATGGCGAATGCGTTTGGCCAATTAAGCCGGGTCATACCAGTTTCGCGCGTGCGTCCGTGTATGTGGTTTGTGCTCGAGCATCAACAATATGTTGGAATCAATGATGCCGTAGCACCTAGGCAAGTCAAACCATTGGAGTTTGCCGACTGCTGTTGCCGATGTCTCAGGCTTTGTCCCCCTGAACATGAGTCCGGCCATATGGCTGTGGTTGTCAAAACCAATGGTACGATTTTGGGGTAGGTGCACCACACATTTTAGTCTGTTTTAGTGGGATTGGGATGCCCATGGCCATATGTTTTTGGAAGAATCGTTTTTTTTGTGGGACGTTTTGGGTTCCATGTTCACTTGCAGGAGTACTCTACAGTCCTCGGCCCGGCCTCAGGCAGGCTCTCTTGACGCCTGTCACGGGAGCAGCCTGGGAGCAGCTGGCCGCTCTGGCAAATCGCACTGGGAGAGGTGTGGTGCAGATGTTGCAACCTCCCAGCTGCCCACCTAAAATGGAACGCAAAGGATCCCTTGACTTTACCGCATGCTTTTACTGGACATCCAGATGAGGTATTTCTTCAATAGTCTTTAGTATCAACGCCATGACCACGGCCTGCGTTGCAAGGAAGACAATGGGAACAGCTGCGAGGGGGTTGTGGGATGCTCTCAAATATCCTGGGCGGGGATGTTTTCATCCTTGTGAAACGTTCCACTGCTAGTGGCCAGGTTTGTATGTTGCTCCTCTTTTCGGGAGCGGTTATCATTCGAAATGAGCCAGTGGCTGCTTTGCCAAAGTGCTTGCTTCCCCAGGGCTCCCCCACAAGGCCCCTGGGCGCTTCTTGTCCCTACGCAGATGCCAGAAGTGTTCAGTCTTCCGCAACATACCCAGGAGATTCGAGAATCACCGCGGGTTCACTACCGCGCAAGGACTCCACGTTCGGCAAGCCACGCATACCGCATGATGCAAAGATGAGTCTTTGGTCGCCGCAACTGTATATTCACAACTCATCGTTTGTATGTGTCAGCACATGCGCAAGAATTGAGTTTGGCAGTTGGCGTGCCGGCGAGCAGATGTGTTTGGCATTTGTGCAGGACAGTTGTGGCTGAGCCTGAGCTGCAGCTAATTTGCATTCCCTGCTGTGCGTGCCATTTGCATTCGACGCACTTAACTTGGTGACTTTAAACCGTTTATTAATTTAAACCTTTTAGAAAATGGCAATTTCCCACTAACCAGCCAGTCGTAAAGCTTTTTGCAAAGGGTCGTAAGACCAACTCAGTTCAAGACTGACTTGCAATGGCGTCTCGCAATCCAGTTATGGAATGGAATTGCAAGAAGGCATTTATACGTACACCAGTATTATCATACCTGAGATTTCGACGGTGCTGAGCTGCGGTCAATCTGAGGTTGGTGCGCACACGCCCACCGATGGTGAGAGCGGCGGCCTATTCAGGCAAAGCTGGACAGATGTGAGCATGACATGAAAGCTGGAGAGCCTCAAGCTCTCCACCTCGATGTGTAGCATTTACTGCCTACCACTGAAGCTGAAGCTGAAGCATTTACTGTCTACCACTGGCAACAGCTTGGAACCTTAGGGGGTGCTGATGAAGGGTTCTGAAAACTTCTGAAGGTTGGCAGAACTGTCTCTCCTTCCCCGGTTTGGGTAGTGAGATAATTACGGCGTCTCAAGGGGGTCCCACATTGACATCCATGTTGTGAAACAGCATTAGTAAGTTATTGACGTTATTGATCATACAAGGCCCGGGGTTCCCATCGATCGGAATCCAGGGTTAACATTATCTGCACTGTTCAAAACCTAATCCCCAATGATTAGCGGTTTGCGGATTATTCTGTCTGCGGATTACGCGGTTTACGGATTAATCTGCTCCCCCTATTAATAAATACACCCCCCCCCCCTATTATAAATAAATCCACCCAAAAAAAATATATATATATATATATATATTAATTGGGTTTTTTGGGGGTTTTTGGGGTTGTTTTTTTTTGCTTTTCCAACAATGTGAGGGTTCACATAGGATTTGGAGGAAATGGATTGAATTGTAAGGTCCGCGAGTAGGCGGTTTAATAAGGAAATTTGATGTATCATTCTATTTGTTTACCAGTTTACTGGTTGTTTGTTTGCAGCCAGGGACAACAGAGTCAAGAACAACCTTTTGGGGAACCCACCAAAAGAACCCAACCTTTTGAAAAGCCAGCTTTTGGGGAAGCAACCTTTTGGGGAATTGAGGAACCCACCTTTTGAAAAGTGAAGCTGGAAGCTTGCTAAAAGTGCCCCCTAATAAGGATTCCAAGACTTTAGTATTGGTTTAGTATTGGCGCAATGGAAAATCAATTGTGCGGAGTGGAAATCTGGTCTTGGGCCCCGGATTTGCATTTATTATTAATGGGGGTCATTCATTAATAGGGGGAGGAGATTAGAGTATGCGGCTCGCCGATTACGGATTACGGGTTGTACGGAGTTTGGATGCTTTGTCAGAAGCTTGTGACCCACAATTTTGCAGCGCCCACAATTTTGCAGCGCGGATTGCGGACTTAGGAGATCCAGCCAGACAAGCGAATTGCGGATTGTGACCAGGCCCCCCTCCCCGGCAGGTGGTGTCCCATTTCGGCAGTGATTATCACCTTTGAGAGAGGCATCCCCGCTACCACAAGGTTTACCACAAGGTTTACCCTCTTTCGAATGACCGAAGACGATAAACACCTCTCTCAACTCGCAGAATATGAGCCACAATCAAAACCCGGTAGATGAAGGTTAGCAAGGGGCAGTCCCAGCCAGAAATAGTTGCGGCCGCCTTCTTAATTCTTTACATGATTCTGGGATTACGACCTTTTTAATACCCTGTTTTGATTGTGATTGATATGGGTTTGGCTCAAAATTAAAGAGCTAGGGTTACGCAGGTTTTAGTCTTTGGTTCATATTATGAACTTTTTGGAAGTTGATGGCAGTCTTCCACGACCCCAGGGCGCGCTTGCCCTCGAATCGCTAGGCTGGTGCCAAAGGAGAAGGGCTTCCAGATCCAATCCACCATCTCCACGGACTGGGGAACAGAGGGCTCAACATACCCTCGCCAACCTCCAACTGGTTGGCTTGTCTTTCAAACCACCCCAAAAGGGGGGGTGCTTTCAGTCCAAGAAAGGAGCCACCAGATTTCTACAGGGAACTGACCCATTCCCAGGGATATCTGACCCATTCCCAGGGATATGAGTTGAATTACTCAACAGGAGACCCTGCTGCCAGAAGTCGCAGCTGCGTTACCCGTTCTGGCGGACATATTGCGACACGGCAGAGTTCAGCGCTGTCTCAACTAGGACTCAGGCTTCAACGCACATGTTTGCAGGCGACTGGGCACACCTGTATGCAGCACACTCAGACACGCAGCTGAAGCTCTGCAGAAGTGTCAGAGTCAAGCAGTAGAACTCTTCGCCACAGGAGCAACGGACAAAAATACTTGTTTCCCGAAAGCTCATAGGAAAATTTTGGATGGCGCCCTGGTTTTTCGTGAGTACCTTGATGCCCCCCCCCGTCCTTCCAAAATCAACAATCGACTACCAAACATATTGTCAGTGACTCACAGACATAAGGATGCTGAGGATAGCATTTTCCGATGCAGTATGTTCCGGTAGGCCGTTCTGGAGACCGACCGCTATGGCATTCACCGGCTTTTTTGTTTCTGCTTCACGTTGCTCGAGGCCGCAGTATGAGGGCCTGCGCTGCGTGAAGCTGCACGGCACAGTCAGTGCCCAGCTACTGGTGTGCCGCTTGGCACGGGTGAAAGTAGATGGCAGAGCCTCCAAATCTCTGTTGCCCAGTGGTGCCCTGCTTTCCTTTTCTGGGGTAAGGGTTCCCGTTTAAACTCACCTAACTAAAAAAGGGTGTCCTGTTTTTTCCCATGGCCACTGGGCATCTAAGAAATTGTGGCTGAGTCATCCCCGGTACTTGGCTAAATAGCAGGAAGGCCATATCATATACTAGCTCTTTCCTTGCCCCCCCCCAAAAAAAAACAGGGAATTGGGCCATGTAGTACTTGTTTACCCCTCCCCCTGGTGTTGACTTTTCCACCCAGTGGCTTCATCAGGCAAGGATCAAAATAGTTTCAACTCATACCTTTGGACCTTCGAGCTTCGTTCATCGCGGTTTGCTCTGGTGCAGTGCGGGTTTGCTCCGCTCGCTTGTCATCCGACTCTGATTCAGCCATTCATAGCAAGTACCTCTGCACTATGTTACAGGTTACTCCAATTCAAGGGAGTTGTTGTGAAGAGGTGAGGGCCCCGTGTTAAAAGGAGACTGAAGCACAAAACATCGTTTGTTGGGCCCCCTATGTGAAGACACGCCCACAGGGCCAGACGGATGTTCAGCGTGCAGAAGTGGGGCAAGACTTTCCTTTGCCCTGAACATACTCTACAACTATTGGGTTGCATCTTTAGACTTCAACTTTTTGGATTCCCCTCATATTTCCCTTTCGCAAGAAGTTTCACTTTTTGGTGGGGATCTACAGCACCCACAGGTCTTTTCCCTTCCACCACCGCTCTTTTCCAAGTGGTTTCCCTGGGCGGTTTTCGGGAAAGGCTCGGGAGCAGCAACCAACATACCCCTCGCCATGGCGACTGCTCCAGGCCTTGTCTTCGGCCCCGGGGCGGAGCTTCCGAGCGCCGCGGCGGGAGTGGTTTCGTTTCGGGGCTGAGGGGGTCTCAAGACTACTTTGGGACTGGCTTCAAGGCAGGGCTGTGGGAAATGGAATCCACTTCTGTGATACAACAAAAGGGTCTCCCAAAGACTACCACCCCCATTTAAACAGGGGATTCCCTTGTATCACAGAAGTGGGGATAAACCCCTTGATCCCACAACCCTGTTTCAAGGGAAAGCACTGCTAAGATGGCCATTTGGAGGAACTGTATTTTTAGTGAACCTTCTCAGAGCCATAAGTTACCATAAGGGGAAGAGTCATCAATGGACACTGGTAGAATTGTATTGTCACTATCAGGCTGCGATGGCTACCCTGGCCACGGCGCTGAATTCAGTATATGAAGATGACCCGATATGAGATGTTTGGGGAGTGTGGGGCAACCCGTTGAATGGAGCATGGACAGGCCCTGCTTGGAGATCCATGTGCATCCCTCAATCCACAAGACTTGTCGATTTACAGACGTACACTTTCGCGTTTGCGCTGAGGTGATGCTGCCCTGGAGGACTTGCGCGCAGGCATGGTGACGACTGAGTTTACTGAGCATTGTCAGATCAGGCATGGCTGGAGCTTGGTGGCAGGTTGGTGTTTAGTCATCAGGTTCCAAATTGCAGGCAAAGCGCTCTGCCAATCTGAAAGCCTTTGATGTTTGCATGGAGGTGTTGTTCAAAGCGGGGTGGCAGTGTAGCATGCACTCCAGCGGATCGATCTGCTTACGTATCTTACTATAAGAGTATCAGATGCTTCGCTTACCACCCTGTTTTGTTACCTGTGGCTGCAAGTTGTTTATTGCATGCTTATATAGGAAACTGTGCTTGTTGGCTGCCATACCAGAGTGCAATCATTGGAATTCTTTTGTCTCACAGCGAGGACATGGCAACAAACTCTGCTGAAAATGCCAACTCGGCTGAACATGACCCTTGGGCTGTTTGCGACAGCTGGCAATGCACTTTGCAGCAGACCAACATCCCTGAAGTGACTTCCCCAGAACTTGAGCCACCTTCAGCCTAGATTCCCTAGGTTTGTCTAAGATTGGGAACGGGGAGCCGTCATTCATGGCGCTTAAAGGAACCACAAAAAAAAACAACTATATGATTGTTGGAGATCTGAGACATCCAAATGTGCCAAACTCCAACTTGAGGCGTTGATTGAAGCCACTTTTGAGAGACCTCCAATTAGTTCAAACATCTTTAGCTTTCATCCTTCGCCGGGTTTCTAGAACTGCTTGAGCTCACCGCTAGGAAAACCCAAAGGAGCCATTCAGTTGTTTGGGGTCCTACATGTTTTTTGGAAAGAGCTCCTCAGTCAGTTGTTGGGGGTTCCCACTTCCCCTAATTTCGGGGACCTACAAAGTATTAGGAACTGCTCTTGATCTGCAGGATTGAAAATTCTAAGGTTTGGCTCCCGGGGCCGCCGCCAAGCCATAGGTTTGACACTTGCGACAGGCCTCCTGGGTGGTTTGGTCGCTGTGCGGGAGCTGGTCGTGCTGGCCTCCGCCAAGGGCCTGCAGCGAGGTGTGCCGCCAGGCGGAGCTGGCTCGGTCTCCGGCTCAAAGCAGCTGCTCGTAGCAGATATTTCTCAGGGTGTGAATTGGTTGAGCAGGTCGTGTACTCTCCAAGCCTGGAAGTGCGCATGCTCCCTTTCCAAGAGCAAACTAGTGTTCCAAAGGAGGGTTGGTCCACCAAACCTTGCTTGTTGGGTGGGAGGGAAACACGTGATAGAACGGCTACACGCCCATTTTCAGCTTGGATCAGTCAAGTCGCCAGGCCGTGACTTTGTAGACGAGGTGTTGGATATCCCCGGCCGCGGCAGCGTTCGCTACCGCCAGCCCTTTGGCCAGTTCTCCAACCCGAATCCGCACATCGCGCCTGGTCTTGCACTCAGTTTTTTGTTTCCCCCCCCCCCCTTTTTCTCCGGGTTTGAAAGACTTCAGAGTCAAGAACCGGTGACTCAAGACCCAAAGGCAGCCCATGGGAAACGCACGGGAACCCCATGCGAAACCCACGGGACCCGCTCCTCGGGGGCGAAAGTCAGGCCATCGCCACTGCGGAGTGGCTGGGCGACGTGGTGCAGTCCATCACGGGCGACACCCCCATGGACCGCACCCAGCGAAGGGGTGACGTGGGGCTTGCGCTGCAGATGAAACCCATGGAACCCAGCACAGAGGTATTTTTCAAAAGGGAGAGATTCCTCTAGAAATCTGGGTTTTGGGGATGTCTTGGGGGGAAAGTATTTAGTCTGCGGGTAGGCGGGTAGTAGCTTGTAAGTGGAAATTGTCCCTTGGGTGGACATGATGAATACCATCGTTGGATATTTATGTGTACTCACCATTTTTGATAGGGCTTCTAAGGTAACGTCGCAGCCGCGGAAAGCTTACGCTGATTTTGTAGACCAGACGCGGGACTTGAAGATTATGCAGACAACGTGAAGGGACGCACAGCACAAGCACAAACGGCACTTAATGACTACGATGCGGGGTCTTTAGTGACATGGTGGTGGCATATCGAGAAGTAGGATCTTGGTTCAGGAACGGAAAGCTGGCAGAAAAGGGTTTGTTTTTGACTTGAATGGTTTTCCTGGGTCATGTGTGCACACAATGCCCAGTAGACAGCGCTTACCCCTGGACTGCACAAACTGGCAGCTAGGATAGCGCATCGGCGCTCCAACAATGAAACTCGCCCGTAGTAAGCGTAGACCAGAAAAGGCTCGTTCGGTTGTAAAAAGGGTAACAAAGTAGGCACTGACATTCTGAGTGCAGGATCAAACCATGATATGAATCGATCACCAGTTGACGACAGCCATGACAACAGAAATTGAGGTCCAATTTGCGGAAAGCCCAAACCACGCAATGTAGGAACACCACACCCGCCGCCATCTGCTCTTGATCGCAGCAAGTGTCTCTGGATTGTTTCCAGGGCAGCCCTTGGAGTTTGTGGACTTTCGCGTTTCCAGCCTGTCTTCAAGTATTTGGTGTTGTTTTTTGTTTTTAATATTTGGGTCCCAGTACTTCAGATTGGGGAAGGGGCTTTCTCATTGACGCTCTTGGATTGTCTCTGATTATCTCTAATTGGGACACGTGGATCAGGGTTTACCACGTTCCATGAGCTTCGAACCAGGCTTGGAACATCAGCAACCCAGCTCCCCCAAAATCAAAGTCCATCCCAGAAATGAGTTTTCCTTTGCATCTCGCATAAACCACTTCCAGCTTGGAGTATCCCGACACACAGCTTCTTTGGACGTGCTCTCCAGTCCAAGGTCATCTCCTCCTCTTTGTTTTTGGGGCCTGCTGGAAACCGCACACCTTGCATCTCAAGCCTCCCACCAACAAACATGTAGATGGACCTATGCCTGAACTGGCTGTAAGGTCTGATTGCTTGAAGAGAAGATGCCCAACCCTGCCCCAACCCCAAGCTTGGCGGACCGAGAACCCCGAGATTCTGACTGTTGCGGACCTGGAGGTTTGGAGGATCTAGGACCTGGCTTAGGTTTACCTAAGCCAAGACCCCAAAGATACAGAGCCCAGAAAACGGGAAGCGTCATAAGTGGTGTCAAGTCAAGGGTGGGTCCCAGTTTTACCCACGAGGTACTCGAGTCGGGTCCTCCGGTCCTCCGAGCTCTGGTCCGAGCTGTAGTCCTCCCAGGACCTGCTGGAGCTGTACTGCGGCTGCGGAAGTCACACCCTGTGCCTGGCCCGCTGCTTCCGCCACGTCCTCGCCGTGGAGATCTCGCGCCGCCTCGTGGAGGCGGCCCAGCCCTTGGGCGCAGAGAGGTCTCAGGGAGCGTGTTTTTTTTGTTTTTTGTTGTTATTTTTACTTTAGCTGTTTGTATTCTACCTCATGAACCAGCAACAAGCTCTTATTTTTTGGCTTGGCAACTTGGCGTTTGTTCGATTTTGATGGCGATACTCTCCGAAACGGTTGGCCATGGGTTTTGGAAGTCCACCAACGGGTTCCCGATGAAAATACTCCCTAATAGGTGTGTGGCTTGATGGTACCCCTTTGGGGGATTTTTTAGAGGGAAGCCAAGAAACTATCACCCATGTTGGGTGTCTATTCCAAGTGAGCCACTTCCTCCAAACTGGTAGGCTACTGGCGCAGTCCCATTGCCATGAGGTGAAAAACACTACCCTCAAGCACACACCTGCATTCTCCCAGCATGTTCAATCCCCAAAGTGCGGGGGGACATTTCCGACAAGTTTTACATCAGGCCCTTGGACGAGTGGATCCGGAGCATTGCTGGCCTTTCAGTGAGGTATAACGTGACACAGAACGGCCTTGACAACGTTACCGTGCTGCGCGCGCCCTCTGAGGCGGGGGTGCGAACCACAGTGAGCTCGCAGTGCCCTCAGGAAGTATCAAGCCCAAGCAACGTAGGTTGGCGCCCCGAGGTGAACGCCTGAGAATGGGGTAAGTATCTGCACCCAAAGAAACTACGTTTGTCTATCAAGGGCGTACCCGCACGAGGCAATTCGCAGCACCAAATCAGACTGTGTCCGTCGGCAAGGGCGCGTTCGCACCAGCAGGGTCTTCAATCTAAGACGAAGATGACGTTGTTCAGGTTGTGGGACATCTTTGATTCGTGAGGTCTTTGAATTCAACCATTGGCATCTTCAGTGACTGTAAGGCTTTAGCATGCATGCGCTTGGTGTTGACATCCACGATCGTTGACGATAGTCATTGAACATGACAGTTGAACATGACGCCTTTTTGACACTTTACGGACCAGACAGGAGTTGTGGAATAACACCTGGCTCGCTCGTAGGCATGCCCCAAATGAGCGGGACACTACGTCCACTCTGTCACACTTCACTCGTAAATGAGCAAACAAGACCTTGGTACACGTTGCGATTTCCGAAGGTGTTTTGGGCGAAAGAAGTCTTGATCTCGTTGCAAAAAGAAGCACTCCGGGCCCTGGCAACCCAGCGTACTTCTTGTTTGATTTGCTGTTGCCTGGACGGGCCGTTTGAACTGATCACGTCCACGTCAAATCAACATTCGCAGTGTTATTGATCCTTCACGAAACATATTCCACTTCGGTTGAGTAGGCACAGGGCACCTTTGAGTTACACAAGAGAAAGCTCACCAACTGCAAGGCTTGTACGCATCGCTTCATAGAAGTTCAGGACACAATCAGCAACCTCATTTGGAGCCCATAGCGCCGCAGCAGCCAAAGAATCACATAGTCCGTGGGAGATTTGAGCCTGGCATTCTCCTAATCAAATTCTCCTTCTTTGATTCCCACAGTCTCGTGAACCCATTTGAGCATTGCGACACTCGGCGGAACCCGCGCGCCGGCAGGACTTTTGTCGCCGCGTGCTGCGGAAGAAGAGCTACGAGCTGCGTGAGGGCGAAGTGAAGGTGCAGCTGAACTTCGGGTGCACTGCAACTCGGGCTTTGGGGTTGCGTAAAAGTCGTTTAGTGATCCCCTTTACTTACCAACAACAATCGGAATTTTCATGGTGTGCTCTAGGCTCAGCTGCCTTTGAGGTGGGGTTGCGCCGGGAGTGAGGGTTTCGCCAATGTCAAGGGGCGCTACAAGCTTTGTCTAAGCATGCAGACAGAGTCGACCAGGCCGTAAAGAATCTAAGTGTTCTCTGGGAGCACAGCGAGAACAGTCGTCGAAGGCCTGGAAACTGGCGCGCGACGCCGACAACTTGACTGGGCCTGAGGTTTAGGGGCTGATCCGTGCAGGGATTGGAGATGCTTGACCCCACAGGAGGTTTAAGGACCCAACTTCCGCAGAATTTGGTTTGTGCCAACTCACGGCGAACCTCGCCATGCTGCTTAGTTTCAGGCTGCGTGACTATGCCCAGCCATTTTCGTTGCAGCTTGGTGCTTTCCTGCGACAAAGGCAGCCTCTTCAATTGCTTTCAAGGTAAGCCAAGATATCCTGGCCAGGTGAAGCGTAGTAAGGGACATCCAAAACCATAAGGCGCGGCCACCCTTTCGATTGGTGCGTAGAGCCCTTTGCCAGTTTTTCATTGTGACTTGGATAGGTTCCTGACTTATGACTTGGCTAGCTGCCCAGCATCGGATGGGAGCTAGCATTCTTTCCACACTTGTTTTAGTGTGCCCCTGGTCGGCGAATAGGCAGCAAATCAGACATATGATAGGCCTCGACCCAATTTCTTGCCCTTCTGTGGTTTCAAGTTAGTTCCTTGCATTTGCCCGTGGAATTCATCTATTGCCAACAGATACCTAAGAGGAGCGGAAACAAGCCACGGTTGTTCAAACACTCTTCTTTTGCCTTTAGGCCCTTTAAAGGGACTGCGAGCCAGGGTCGCAACGTTTAAACAACCGAATGCAACCCACCAAGCCTGTTCACATTTCAATCGACTCAGGTGGTGGACCCGCCACGGGCCGGGCTGGACTCGGTGACTTTGGAGGCCGTGGCAGGCTACGACCACATTCTGTACGTGTCCTGCAACCCCAAGGCGCTGTCCTCGAACTTGGAGGTGCCTCGGAGTCGGCGAAAGCCTTTCGGTCCCTGCCGGCCCTGCCAATCCAAAATCTGGGCAAGTTGTAGCGAGACCTGGGGGCAAAGTCAAGCCCACACGTGAACATCCCTTGATATCCCTTGCTTGCGGGTTCTGTATTTCCGGTAAGAGAAGTTTGCCCAGCAATGACTCCTTATTTTTGCATTGCCGTCAGCGTTCGTGGCGTTTGTGTGGAATCACGCTTGGGCGCATGCATGGCCTTATCCTGTATAGCATGGTGCATTTGGTGCCACTTTGTACTTCAAAATCCAAAAGCGGGTTCCGTACGTTTAAGAGCCGTGACGATAAAGAAGAATCCGTCTTGTACTGTAATACTGAGGTCCTCCTGAAGACGCATGAGCTGTGCCGCATGGTGTTGCTGGACCACTTCCCATGCTCAGCCCACGTGGAGATGGCCGTGCATCTGCGCAAAAGACCCGCCTGAGCATCGAATCGACCAGAACTCCAACGGCGAAGAGCTTCGGGCCTGAGATGAGCGAAGTGCGGCTCGAGCCTTCGAGCCTCGCGCGGCATGCGCTGACGGGGCGCCCTGAAACTGGCCGGAGGGCGCTCGTAGGCGGTCACCACTTCGACCTTCGAGAAGGAGTCGAGTCGAATCGCAGGGTGCGGTGCGGCGGCGCGGATCGAGGAGAAAGGGCTCCGCTGCGAATTGAAGCGCCTCCCAATTTGGGAGATGTTGACTTTGACGTTGTGCCGTTGAATAGACCGCCTATTTACTGAGGATCGCATGGGACTTCGGACTCAGTACCTGAAGTGCTAGGTAGTATAAAGGCGTGTAAGGATCTTTTCAACGTGTACGGTACAAAGTGCAAGGTCGTATCCGAGCGGTTCAATATTTGAGAAGATCGAAATCGAAGAGGGCAACTGATGAAAATTCAGCCGGAGCATTTAAAGAGAGTGCCTGGACGTGGATTGTGCAGTCAAGAAACCTGACTGCTGCATGGACGGACTCTTCGTGCGCGTGTTTCCCATTGGTTCTTGAGTTTCTTGACGCACCTTGCTAACCAAGTCGGTGAGACGCTGGAATTATGCAACACCGCATATGCAGCTCCTTTCAAGAGCGCGGCGCACGCACACAGTGGTCGGCAAAAACGCCAGGGTGACCCATGGCACACCAAGATGCAGGTGGCATGCCAAAACCAGTCCCTCAGCCTCGGGCCAGGCTGCCAGGGAAAAGCGGCCAGAGGATTATGGCGCGGCTCGGCCGCATTTGCGCAGGTGCTGTTGCTGCAGAATCGGCATGTTTGGGCTGCCTATCCGTTTTCCTCTCGGGTGAGAGGTCTTTGCACATGTCATAAAGCGGAGCACGTGACTTGGTTGTGTGTGTGTGTGTGTGTCTCGGTGACCAGAATCCTTGTTCGAAATGCAAGGGTGCAAACGCAGGGATAAGCACGTTGAATCCAACTGATGGCATATAGAGTCAACCGGTTTTGCATTTGTTCTGGCCTGTAGTACATGAGGCTCCTCTCTTCAGTTGCTTCAGAACTAGCCGAGGCTGCTAGGTGTAGAATACTTCCGGCCCAGAGTGGTCCCAGTCAAGCATGGATCATGCCTATCCAGAAATGTAGCGACCGCAATGGTGGACGCTTCGCTTTCTACCGAGCAACAACAAATTTTACTGATCTCCAGCTAGTCACACAAGTTGAACAAGCCGTACACCGTGAGGTGCTGCGCTGGTTTCTTGGATCTGCCTGGGCACAGCCTCAGGTAGATACGCTCAAGATCACAGATGATGATGCCGCCTTCATCCTGGGAAAGGGAGGCAAAACAAAAGAGAAGCCGCTCAGCATTGCAGTATGATTTGCAAATAGCAAGGACTTCCAAACGCCACTGCCTGTTGCATAATAAATGCGACTGGCTCCAGGCTGGGAACCCCCTCCCCGCCGCCGTTGGGGATGGTGGACATAATTTTGCGGGAATATGATGTTTTGATGCTTTTAATATCCATAAGCCACAATGCGGCCGAGCTACCGGCTTTAGATCATGCGGAGTGAGGGCAGATGACCAAAACTTGACGGGTGCTACCGCGGTTGGAGAAGGATAATTAGCAAGCTTCAGCTTTCTGAAACGGCTCACGTGTCAAATTCTGTTGGACTTGGGGGGGGGGGATTTTGATGTTTTTGTTTCCCTTCAAATGTGGGATCTAGGACAGCCAGGCACTCTCCAAATCAAGAAAATATTCAACTGGAACAGAGACCTTCTTTTCTTGGTGCAGTTTCAAGAAGTTGCTTCATTAGGCTGTCGTTGTGTCAGTAACTGCTTGTCAGTTGTTTCACGGCAGAGGGCAACTGGGCAACTAGCCCTTGAAGGGCTTTTTGTCAGTTGTACAAGTCTTGTTTCACCATCCACCAGCCCATGCTTGATGGTAATGGAACGTACTGTGTATATCCCATCTTGTTTGTAGGGATCGGGTTTTTGAGTGGTGGTGGCAACCCTCGGAAAGAGACAAGCAAACCAGTTGTCCGTTGTTGTTTTGGCAAGATCAGATCCTCTTAGTGGTCTCACAGGATCTTCCTGGGCGCGCAGCGTTGCCGCGTCATGCCATGCATCCCAGGATCGCGAGAGTCTCCCAAGCCGAGATCGAGCTCTTTGAGCGCGACCTGATTTTGGCACCTCGCCACAATGAATTCCCCAAGTATTGGAAGTTAACCAAGAGGCACCTTGGTTAAAAAAGATAATTGGAAAAGAAAAACAACAAAACAGGGTTTTCTTTGTTCCCTTCTTGCGAACCGCATACGTGTCTTTTCTGGAGTTTGATTGAAAAACGAGAGATTAGATTGGCTTCGGTTAAGCTCTCATCATTTGAGCTGCATTTTGGGGGGCCGGCGCCTCACTGTCGAGCCTCAGGTTGCCGTGCACTAGTAAACTATACGAGCTGTTCTTAAAAGCAGATGATGTCCAGGCCACTTGTTTGGCCCCTTGTTCCCCCTCCCCTCTCCGATTTGCTCAACGAATACCCTCCAATTCGAAAAACCTGGACGTCGAGCTTGTTCCTTCCTTTCTTGCTCACAATGCCTCAGGAGATCCGCGGGTCAAAGGTTCAGCGACGAAGAGCCAAAAAGTACTGCCGCTCGGCGCGACTTAGACATTGGCAGGGCGAGGTCCAGGCGTTTTCGGCAGAACGAGTTGCATAGCTGGCTTGGATTTCATTGCGTTTGTTTCTTTATGTCTTTCTTTCTTTCCTTCTTTCTTGTGTCTGCGTGACTCAGGTGTACAGGACTTTTGTCTTGCTAGTTGCCAAATCGAATTGGCAGGGAGCTCTGTGTGTGTGTGTGTGCGCGTGTTTGATTGTGGGCGTCGTTTTCCTTGCTCCTGGCGCTTGATTTTGATTGATTTGTCCTAGTAGTGTTAGTTGCTGCGGATAAACTTGAGTCGTCTCAAACCAGGTGAGGTTACACAACCCCTCTTGCGTTTAATTGAGTTTTCGTGCTTGAAGGGCTCCTCGGGATCGCGCACCGGGGCGTTATATTGACATTAGGTTCGAGAACAGTTGCGTGAACATGGATGGCAAACCTCCAAGTTTTTCTCACGCGCTGCATGCGTGCCATCCATCTTCCTGAAGCATTCGGTGAGTTGAGAGCGTTGAGAGCGAAGCCAGCGGCTCAGGTGAGGGCGTCATGGCGCAACGCACGGGGCCGGTGAACATCACCGAGGAGCAGCTTGGACCAGCTCACCTGGGACTTAGGAGTCGAATTTTCGTGTGTTTTTCTTCCCCGTTTTCGGCTGCATGTGTTTTTTTTTGGGCGGGGGGGACGGAGAAGCTGGTTTAGAGGGCATTGTGGGAAAGACGCCGTTTGGTGGATGCCTGCAAAGGAATGACCATGCTGTTTAAGAGCTTGCGTTTAATTGTAGCATCATTTTTCTGGAAGCTGCTCAGTGGTTCTACCACCCAGATTCCCATAATTGCTTTAGACCAAGAGCACTGCGCGCAGACCCAAACTACCTGGATGCCAAAAAATGGATCTGGCACACAGGCCTTCCCCTCCTGTTTTGGCAGCCTCGAGCCGACAAGATTGATTTTTGCAAAGCTGCAATTCTGTTCACAGCAAAAGAGGATCCGGAATGTATGAGACGTGCCCATTTCTCCAAGCTGGGTGAGTTGGCGGCTTGGCAGGGTCTCGTAAGGTATAACGACGACGACCTGACCATGCTCATGGTCCCGCAGGAGACTGCTTCTCGGCGCAACCTGACAACCTGACGGTCCTCATGCTTTTCGGGATCCATGTCTGTTTGTCTCACAATTAGGGAGCCCCCAAAATAAACGATTGGAATTCTTTGATGTGGTTTCAAATTAGTTTCCCCATGATTGGAAAATTGGGGAGCCCCCCAAGGGTTTCCCCTTCATACCAAGGGCTTCCCATACGCGAACACTCATGTTGTCTCCATGTGAACACGGAGGCCCTTTCAAGGCTTCGGGTTCTAGAGACCTCGTGCGACGCCTTCCATTTGGCTAAGACTTTTTATGGTCTGCTGTTGGATTTTAAAGGGAATGTGGTCACTACTGGACATATTTTGTTTCTCAGATTTTTTTTTCTCCAGGGGACTGAAGCGAATGGAGGAAGCGGCCGAAACCCTGGGAGGTGGGCTTTGTGACTGGCCGGGCCGGCAACTTCCTCCGCACCATCGAAGAAGAGCGCCGCGGCACCCCAACCTTTGGATCCCATGCGGGGGCTGTGAAAAAACGTCCTCAACTCTGTGGATCAGTGGCGCGCGCCAATTTTTCATTTTTTTTTGGGGGGAAGGGTTCGCCCTTAAAGTCAACCAACCAAAAAAGGATGCCTTTTTTTTTCATGGCCGCTGGGCATCTGACTCAAAACCCAAGATGAAGGCTAGCAAGGGGCAATCCCAACCACAAGTGGTTGCGGATGTCCGCCTTCTTCATCCTTTACATGGTTCTGGGTAGATCATTTTCATAACGGGTGTTGATTATGACGCATGTGAGCTGCAATCAAAACCCAACATGAAGAGAGTAAGGGACAGTCCCAGCCAGACATGTCCGGGAATTCGGACTAGGTGTTGACTGTGAATCATGTGGGTAGCATATGTGTCGAAGTTGGGCCGGACCCGCAATGGTGGCTTTTCTTTTGGTTTCCCATGTAAACCACCTGACACACCCATGGTCCGTGGTCGACTTGTGAGGGACTCGGGCGGAAACAACATTGCCCGCCAACAAGCAGCGCGACGAAGCCCAATTTTTCCTCGTCCCTTGCAAGCCTTGGGGGGACAGCGTACTTTGACCGTGCGGTTCCATACCTTCACAAATGGTTGGTGGGACTAAAACCCAATCTAGATGATGCCATTCTGAGTCTGTTGTTTTCCCATCCACGTAGCTTCATTCAGTGTTTCCTGTTCCTACGTCAGTGCCACCACAGGAGCTAAACAAGGGTCATTGTTGGTTGGTTCGTTCTAGTGGGGCGCTGTGCTTACGGCTCAGGTGGGGAACACTCATGTTCTTCTGCGAGGTAGGCTCCGGACGTCGTGACAAGGACACCGCCAAGGGATTTGGACCTGAAGCGGGATGCAGCCGGGACCCTCCATGAATGCCATGGCTGCATGACAAGAAAAACAGGGTGGGGCTGTTTTTAAAATGGGGGACTCCTAAAATGGTGGCTTCATGTTCCTTGAAGAACTAGCCAGAAAGACCCCCGCCCACATTCAGGAACACATGTGCAGTGCAATGTTAGGCATTCTCAGCTCGTTGATGATCTGGCGCCCATCCATGAGGAATTATACTACAAAATAAATGATACGCTTCTGGAAGTTCTGACATTATACATTTGTTTCCATTTATTTTGCAAAGCTAGAACTAAACCGAGAAACCTAGAGCTCCCAAGCCAAAACGTACAACCAAGTTTCTGTTCTAAATGATTAATTCAAGTTGATAGACGGTGTACCAACAAAGACTATTATGATTCACGTTGTTCTTGAAATAATAAATGAAAAGGGGTAAAGCTGGCATCAATCACTTTTTCTCAACGCGGATCTGAGCCGCATAGTGCTGCCACATCTTATTCCAGTTACTTTCAATGTGGCATTCGTGCCGGAGGAGCTCGGTGTTGCCTGCCGGCAGAGTTTTGTGCTGACAAAAACCCAATACTATAATGACATATTAATATATGTATGTATATATTAATCTAGTTATTGATTTAGTTATTTATTTATTCATTTGTTTATTTGTTTTGTTTATTTATTTACATATATTTGCTTTGCTTTGGTGTGTTGACCGCAGTCAGCCACTATGTTTATTCGCTTTTGCAAAACAATCAACTGCTGAAGGCTAAACAACGTAGGAAATTGGGAAGGGAAGTGCACTCTGCGTAATTCAGGAAAAGACTTGATGTGCCCTGGCAAACACTCAGTATTTGGAATGTCCACAGAAAATTCCCAACCAAGACCTCCAACGTCCAAAGTATGCTGTGGTTCCAGAGTTTCTTCTCCCTGCTGGACTTAGAAGTACCCCTCTTTCACAGCTTGCACCTTTAGGGCGGTTTGTTATTTTCCACAAGGTCAACTTTGCACATGCTTATGGCTTTCAGGGTGGCGAATTTCTGCCACTTCCAGGGTTGAAAGATGGTTGTGTCCACAAAAGGTTCTGTGTTGCCCTCCTTGAAAGAAAGTTGTTTGAGGAGTTGGCGGTGGCTTAACCGCACTGTTTTGCTTGGTGCTCCAAATCAAATCAACAAACTAAAGACTGTTCCAAGTATTTGGTCGCCTGTTGCAACTGGGAGATGGGGACCCGTTTTGAGTTCCTTCTCCGAGAGTTAAGACAACCATAGTACGACCGAGACGTGACATGAGTTGACCCTGGCATCAAAGGAACAAACAACGCCCCGTGACTGGGGTATCCCTTCCAAGAGGATTCAGACAAAATTTATGAACAATTTTCCAGGAATGTATCCCCTTTTGTTTAAGTAACGCCTATACATTCCTGTATACGTGGCATGAGCAGAATATATTTTGTTCTGGGGCCGTGCCAGGACTACGAGAAGCTGGCGATCTTTGGGGACATCCGGGGGCGGAGGGGCGCCGAGCTCAAGGTCCTCAGCGCCATCGAGACCAAGACTCCAGGAGTCGGATATTTCCGCCCCGAGTCGCAGCGGTCGAGGGTGTCCGTTTCATGCAGGCTGGGGGGGAGGGAGCCTTAAGGCCTTTTTTAGGGCTTATTTGGGCTCCCTCCCCCTCCCCTCCCCCAGCGCCCACAACAGTGGTTGCTCATGGTTTTGCCCGTTAACCACTCGCAATGGCTTCATAGAAGTCCTTGCTGGGAATCTTTGGAAGGGAAAGCTGGAACATGAACCACAGTGACCTGATGGTTCTGCAAACAGGGATCTCAGCCTGGTGGAAGTGGTCTGGAACGGTGGTTGATGTTCACCCACGTTGCCTGCCTGCTGCCTGATGAGGAACATGAGGATCAGGGTACCACGTGTGCAAAACATGCAACTGCAGACGGTCTTTACTTTGGTGGAACATAAATAAAAGGGATTCGACTGCTTCCAGTGGGTTCTACCTTGCCAGTGCCACCTATCCTAGGACTACAGTGCTGCTCGCTCACCGTTGTCTTGATTCAACATTGATAGCTGGAAGTTTTGACATTGGTCGTGCGAAGTGCTGAGTAGTTCGAACCCGGTTTGATGAACGTGACTTGTTTGCCATGCCTGTATCACTTCCAAGTTTGTGCTGGTAATAGTGAACTGCGGTGCAGGGCTGATGCCACGCATTGCCCACGCACGCATCGAGCTATGTATTCATCCTCTTGAAGTACAGTCAGCTTTCAATCCCCTGATGCTTTTTGTGTGGTTCATGCATCCTCTCCCGTGTGCGCGGCGGCATGCTCCGAATAGGCTACCTGTCCAAGATCAAGAACGAGGTGATCGATCGCGACAAGGGCAAAGATCCCGAAGGTGATTCGGTTGAACGGTGTCTTTTTGGATCCTTGTTGAACCCGTTTTGGTTCCAGCTCAATAAGCGCCAACTGGTTTTCCAAAAGGACACCTTTGGAATTACAGCTGTTCTCGGGATGCCAGCCACCGTATGCTTTGAAGGCTTTTTCTGGGAGACATGACCATCAATTGGGCCCACCGAAGAAGGCTTTCCGCACTATGCCTTTGCAGCATCCAGCTTTCAGGTACCTGGTCCACTGACACGATGACGTTCCAGGCTCGCGAATGTGGGAAAGCCTTGCACTGAAAGCTGGCCAAAGCTTTCTTTCCGTCATTTGAGGTCAGTTTGCCAGAACATCGTGGGATTCCGCCTGGTTTTTGTTGGTTCTATCTCAGTGCCGCCGACTTTTTCCAACCTTGGCCTTTGGGAGGACGACGAGCTGTCCTATGCCTTGGGCAAGCAGGGCGGCACCAGGAAGAAGCTGGAGCGTGCCTCAGGCCCGCGAATCGCCGGCAAGTGGCATTTGGAGGGGTCCGGGTGGTTTCCCGGTAATTTGGTAATTGATGTTGGTGACGCTTGAATGGAGACAGTTGCAGATGGCACCTACTTTCTCTGTGCGTTTGTGGCTCTTTTAGATGGTTTCCACTGCCCCCACCTGAGATATAGCCACTATGTAAAGGGTTTGTACCCCGTCCCTGGGGATTGAAAGATGTTGAAACCATTTTGAAGCCTAGGAACTCGGCTCGGCCGGTAGCTGGCATGCACGTCATGGCCGTAGCCAGTGGAACGCTTCCGGGGTGTGGAGCTGTAGCCGGCGGTGCTGCTTCAGCGCTAGCCCGGTTTCCTGTACCTGGAAGTGTCGTGACAACATTCGTTGCTTTCTTTCGCTTGGAGCGCATCCTTTAGGTTTGTCCAAAAGGTCCACTGCCCGGGTGTCCAAGGTTTTGAAAGGCTTGGCAAGAAAGGCATGCGATGCGATGGTGACACATGGCCTTGCCAGGCTGCATCGTTCAGTGGCTGGGCACGCATTTGGTGGCCACTGTGTTCAGCCTTTGCGGCTCCAAAACGAGGGTTGCTACGTGAAGGCTCTAGCTGGATTGTTCAGAATCCATCCTTGGTTCTTATTCCAGATGGTAGGGGTTACCTTTGTATCAGAGCCCCACAAGGTGCCAGGAATTGGCATCAGTTGGGCTCCATAGCATTATGGTAGCTCACCAAGCACACGACGTTTGCTGCACAGGTGAGTCATTTGCATCCGAGTTACTTTATTGGGCAGCATTTGGGCGATCGGATCCGACTCTTGCGGGATCATTGACCATGCATGGTTGTCAAACCTACACCACCAGACCACTGAACATGCATTCAATAACTTGTGTGGCGAGCTCATGGTGTAAGACGTATACATCGTCAACGTCATGCGGGGCTGGCAAGTTGGTTTAACAATTGTGGTAGCTTCGAATGGAATGGGCTGACGCCCGGGTGCCGCCGACCCCTTTTTTGGGCTCTGGGCGACCCGCGGTGGTGCAACCCCGCAATCCAAACAGGAAAACGCAGAGGCACTGCGGGTGCAGAACGAGCCCGAAAAGCCCAACATGAGGTTGAAGGTGCCAAATGGCAGTTTCGAAACTCATTTCAGTCACTAGTCAGGGCCCAGCAGCAGGCCCACCAACAGCCAGGCGTAGCAGGCCGCAAGGGAAATTCATCAGCCAAGGCCCAGCAGCATGGAAGCAGAGCCAGCAACAGCCCGCAGGCTGTAGGCTCCAGAGGCCCATCAGCTAGCATAGTGGCGCTTCGCAAGACACGTGGCGCACGCCCGCCAATCCTCAACAAAAAAATCCGAATCGCGCATCAGACCCTTGCGCTTTGGGTCGATCCGATTCGGGAGGTTAGGAGTTGGAAGGGGGCGGTCGCTTTGTCGAACCGGCGAACCGGGTTCCGGTTGAATGTTTGAAGGTACGTGGGGCACACCGCCCTCTTCTCTGGAACCCGCACCGAGCGGCGCCGAGCGAAGGACTACATGAAGTGCCCCTGACTGGATCGGGTATGGGTGTGCGTGTGTCTCTGCGCGTGTGCGTTTGTTCAAGAGTAGCTTTTGGGGTTGTGTTGCAGAGAGACGAAAGGGCACAACTCATGTTGCCATGACTTCTTATAAACTTACTACTCCCGTCGAGACAAGTGTTGCCTTCGGAAACGGCTCATAGGAACGGAAGAAGTCCAATTCCATTTTTTGTTGAGGGCTGGCGGCGATCCTGAAGCGCCGATGTCATTTGCATGTTGTGTTGCTGCAAACAGTCTGGGAAGCAGTCTAGTGAAGCAAACAGCTTGAACCATCAAATACAGTTCAGCGACATGGCACTGTATCCCAGCCACGTAGAAATTCAATCTGAATTTATGCTGTATGTAATGCAGCTGCATTTGACGCGCATCCTGGAATAAGCGCCATGGCAATGTGGCAAGCTGTGACAATTCGAGCCGCCTCAACTTCAGGTCCGCCTGCATCCTTCCTCTCATAGCCTGGCAGACAGTTTGCTAGGGCAAGCCTCAAATCACCCATTGGCCACCTGTGTGATGGATTGATAATTTCAATCCAACCACAAGAAATAGACCCTGTGCAGCCAAACATATTCCATCAACATGGGCATACATGAATGATTGAGCTGAGGATTTGACAGACTGGATCAGGGCTGTCCATCTAACCGTGCATCATACCGGTTCAGACGCTTCGGTTGTTCCTCAAAATGAAACGCCCCACCAACGGGTGACAAAGGTGCCGCAACCACTAGATATGTCTGTTTGCCCTTTTCGACTAGTTCAAGTGCCAAATTGGGGTTCCGTATCTTAAATTTGGAGACACCCGCATGTGTCAGGGTCCATTTGTCAACGATCATTCGGAAGCCTGGCTGGTGGCCAAATACGTCTCTGTTGCCCAGTGGTGCCCTTTTTTCCTCTTTTTGGGTAAGGGTTCCACTTTAAACTCACCCGACAAAAAAAGGTGCCCTTTTTTTTCCCTATGGCCACTTCAAACCTCACTTTTCCAGAGACACCAAGCAAACGAGCGAAGAGGCCGATGGCCTATCCCAGACTCAGGTGGCTTTTCGCTCAGCTGGAGGGCCCGGTGTACGTGGACGGCTGGGAGGATCGCGATGACTGCTGCGACCTGGCGAAAATTCTTGGCGGTTAAACCGGGTTGCTCCGGCCCTTGAACAGGTGACTCAACCTGATAGTGTATACGTGCATTTAGTAGGTTTCCTTTGGATTCCCATTTCAGTTTCCTTTTGGAGCAACTCTAAAGGGCGATCCATTCTTGGGTGTCTTTTTCCTCGAATTAGGGGTTGAAAGAGTGGCCAACCCTCCATTTTGGGGGCAGGCCATAGTCAAGGACAACGGGCAGGCCGCGGTAAAATTTGCACGCTCAAGATTCATCCGCACACACACACTCCGGATCACTGGACTTGCCAAGGATTGTTTCACTTGTGCACATGTATGAGTTCCAAGAATGGCTTGTACAAAGCCCCGGCTTTGCTTGAAGCATGTTGCCTTTCTCCTGGCAATGCTGAACACAAGGCACGCAAGGCCATATGCTTCCATGGACCATGGAAATACAGCCGATCTCAAGGATTTGGTGCCATCCCCTTATGGAAACACTCGAGTACTCCTAGAGACTTTCTAGCTGCACAAGCTTTCAGAAGCCATCAGAAAGCAGGCTTCACAGCGTGTGAATGCCGGCCACTGAACAGACCGGTGCCAGATTCGATCCTACCAGAACGGACTGCAAACGTTTAAGGCGCGCATTCGTTTGTCCTGCTTCCACTTTGAGAGTGCATGCTTGATTTGGCTAAGGCCCTAAAAACGAGACTCCTGTTTCCTTTTGGAGGTGCCAAACTTGTCCCGCAGACTTTGGCAAAAAGACCTTCCCAGGCTCGCACGGTCTTGCGGTTTTTGCACCTAGGCGTTGTGCATGCCCGGACCTCAGTGCCAGCTGGGATGCTTTGGAGGTGGCTTTAACTTGCCTCGTCCTTGTTCAGAGGCTGAATTTGCCAGTGCTTCATTTGACGCCCAGATGTTATCAATGTGGAAGAGGCAGATTGTGTGTATGGGCCCCGCAATGAGTCAACCGTGCCCACGTGTTACCCTTGCAAAGCTCAAGAGTGCTACCTCAAAACGCCTCAAAACAAGACCAGCCCATGTGACCCATCTGGCCCATATGACATTTGGGAGGCATTGCTTCTCCAGTGCTCAAGGTGCCCAGCGACTGCATCGGCTACATCACGGGAAGCCGGCGTGCCACCTTGGGGCGAATGGAGGAAGAGCCGCTCGAATGACCGGGTTTCAAGGCTTACAAGATCCCATGCTTCGATCACTCCTTGATGTTGTAGAAATTAATGGGGAGCACCCTCGACTGTGTGTGGACATCAATTACTAGGGAAATGGTATCCAAAGGGTTCGCATTTCAAAGTCGCTGCTTCCATCCTTTCCTTGGGTTTGTAAGGACGTGGCGCTCAAGATTTGCACATGCCAATCCTGAGATCTCAGGATATCCTCACTGAACTGCGACAGATCACTCATAGCCAGTTGGCAGACGTGCGATGTTGAATGGTGCATGTTTGATTCATGCACATGCATAGTCGTCGTCACAAACATCGTTGTCTCCGGGGCAAGTGGACGGCTGCAAGCAAGGCACTTGGGGCTTTGAGGGCCAGAACAAGTTTGTTTTTCCGACATGGTGCTTACCCAATGTGCGGAGTGCGAATATGTATGCGTATGCGTATACACATGCGGAAATGTGTGTGTGTGTGTGTGAGTCAGACAAGGCTGGTATTTATGTACTGGCGATTGTCAACCTAGAGTTTGAATGTACACTTCCACTCACACGGAATCAGGCCTCCCTGGAAGATGCGGTTCCTCTCAACCGGGGGGCCTTCTGGTGGGTTACATGCGTGGGCAAACAGAGCTGACAGCCCTTCTGCCCAGGTGGGGAACTCTCATGTTCTTCATGACCAAGGACAGCGGAGGCCAAGAGCTTTGTAGGGCTAGGCTCATGACCTTTTGGGATGTGAACCCTCTTGGCACACAGGACACATTCTCTCAGAGTTTCCTTTTGCAGCGTTGACTTAGACCTTCGGACCTGGAAACGAGGAAAGCTCCCCCAAGCAACAGCTGGTGTTACCAACCCTAGAGTGGGCAGCTTTTTCGCAGTCTTAGATGGACCATCCCAATGCCGAAATCAGGGAGAACTGGTATCCTCTTGTTTGAACCATCCCAGCGGGTTCTCAAGTTCACAAGGTTCAAGAAAACCAGGTTCCAAAACGGCTGGTTTCCCATTCGGCGGCTCAAGAAACCCCAGTTCCCCCCGAAAATAAGACATGAAACATGTCATGTGCCAATCCGGCTTGGTTGCAGAAACCCTTGTTCCCAAAAAAACACACGTCATGTGCCCAGCAGAATCTGCCCATTCGGCCGCTCGAATCGTCCTCCGCGTTCTCCGCGAAGACATCTCTCAGGACGGCGAGAAAGGCGGCCGCTCTGGGCAGGCGGAGAAGCTCATCATCTGCGGCCACGAGCGAGGTCGCCGAGGCGAGGTCACCACGACAGTGCCGGAGCGAAATTCACCGACTCCTGTTTGCGGTTCTAGTGTGCCGTGCCGGAGCGGTTTTGACCCACCCCTGTTTTGACCGACTTCTAGCAGGTTCCATTCCTACCTGGAGTCCTGGGGTAAAGCGAGTATAGTAATATCCGAGTTAGCACTTTAGAACCGTCTTAGCACAAGTCGATAGGTTTTGAGTGCTGCTTATATGGGTTCCTCACTCAATGCCCGTGAAAATCCGTTGAACACCCAAGGGACAAATCCACAGGCTGCAGGAGAAGCCAAAGAGCAGCCAAAGGGAAGCGGGTTTGCGTCTAGGATATTGAACCCCCCGGTTTCCCTCCAAAGCAATAGCAATCCTTGAGCAGTTTCCCTTCAAAGCTTCCTCATAGTCACCGAAAAACACACTGAAATGATGGCCTCCAAAGCTGGAAGCAATGCAGACATCAACCGATATTAGGCCGGGATTTAGCACGGATGAACATGGCAATGACAGCACACCTTGCCCCTTCAGTCTTTCATACGTATGGGATGCGCTCAGAATTTCAGCCCTTGAAACAAGAGGAACACAGGAAGCCACGAAGAAAAGCCCCGGGGAACCGCCATCGCCTCGGAGGCGCCGAGCTGAAGTGCATGAACGAGATCGAGAAGAAGGCGGGCAGCCGTGAGAAGCCATTGCCCTTCTTTGGCTTAGGAGTAGAAGCACCAAGCCAAAGGAAAGCTATGATTAGAGGTCTAAATTGAAGTGGGCTGGAGCTGCCAAAATGTACTTTGTGGGCTACACTTGTACTGAAAAGTTGCACTTGGTGCAAAATGGGATTTCTGGAAATGTGGTCGCCTCTAGCAACCTATGCACTTGCATGCGCGTCTAATGAGTCTAATGTCTCTGGTGGCAAGGTTCGCTCATGGAAACTACCCGATGGTAGGCATGAGCGGGGCGTTCGGGAGTTCTCCACTGCAAATTGGCTCCTGCAGAGAAGTACTTGCCTGAGAGTCAACATCCAGCTCGTATCTTGCCACGAGACGATGCAAGACAAACGTGTCCAGGTTGCTTGCCTTGCAATTGCATGGAACAGCACCTGTAGCCTTCGCCGGGAAGAAACCCAGGGCTATGCCCACATTGCCATTCGCGCAGGCTCCGGGCCACTTCTCCAGGGGCCTCAGGCAGGGCCATGTTAGTGATAACCCAAGCCGCAAACCTGAACCATTGCAGAGCGTTTGGTGGCTCGTCTTTTGCAGGGTGCCGTTTTTTTTGTTGGTTTCAGAGCAAAACCACAAGGCTGCTGCTTTTGGACGCTTGAAATGTGAATGAGTCATGTGATCACTAGGCCTCGCATTGCCAGCACACAGGAGTGCATATGATCATGAATCGTTCATCCAAATGTGTCTTGCGCGGAGGGCGTTTCGCTGAACTTGCATTAGAGGGTCTGGCAGTCTGCCTGAGTCTCTCTGAGCACCTATATAGATATGCACAGAACGCAGAAGATGTTTGAGCTAAGAATCCTGACAGGGCATTCAATTCTGCGAAGAAGCCGCGAAATACATTTTTGTTTGGCATCTGCAGTGGGTTTCTTGGAACCCATTCCTCTGACCCCGTGCTTTCCCCCCTGGTCTGAACCAACCCCCCCCTCCCCAACCCCCCAGCGCAGGGAGAAGTTCTCGGACTCGCGCAACTTCGACACGGATCGCATGGCGCGGCTCGGGAATCGCATGGGGTTGGTCAACGGTTGCTTTCTATTTTGCCCACCTTTTGGTCATTTAATATAGGTTTGGGTGGCCGGCGGCCCAAGGGTCTTGTAGTGTGTTCCGCTTTTCGGGATGTGTTGTTTAGACCTTTGGGCCATGTCCATGGACGTTCTGGTATTGTATTCCCCCTTTGGCCATTTTGTTAAATGACGAGTTTCCTTGTGGGGTGATGTTGGCGACAAAAAACTGGGGACCACTATTCGGGCGTTGGATTCGGTGTTCCGCCTTCGGCAAACTGACCCGAGGGAGCTCTATCCGAGCTGCTGTGAATAGCTTGAGCAACTCCTCACTGATCTCTGTCTGGTCTGTTTGTCAGTGCCAAGAACTACAAAAGTCGCAGCCAATCACAGGAAGCTCTCATTCAAGAAGCATCGCAGCTGCACGATTTGCCTGGAATTGGTGTATGCATCATGTGGTGTGTCCTTTTTGACGGCACCCTTTGTTGAGTTTAAGCCGGAATCCAAGGGGATTGATTGAAGCAATACCGTTCAGTGGCCATCTTGATATGATTCGTTTGTTGATGGGGTGATGTCTAAAGGAGACGCAAACGGATCGTCAAGGATCCTATGTTATCTGCTCAGCGGTCGGCAACGACTTCAAGAATGGAATGCGCTGAGAAGGCTTTCTCGGTCAACACATCCTTGGCGATGGTCATCAACCCCTTAACAGGCAGCTCAGACCATCATTTGAAGGGTCCCTAAAAACACCATGAACATTCCTCCCCCCCTGGCGCATCAAAGTGAGCGTTGCTGGCATGTGGGTATGGGTCAAAATTAAACCACCAGGATATGGACCACAGGTTTACTCAATGTTTCCATTTTCCAGGGCAAGCCATTTTGGGGTTACCCTATTCTTGAGCCACAGCCATGCGTGTCCAGCATGGTGCTTGACGCTCAGCTGGGCAGGCCATCAAGGAGGATGAGCTGAGCTACGTCATCGGAAAAGAAGCGGCCACGCAGAAGAAGATTGAGAAGGCTCGGGTTTCTTGCTGGGTCCTCAGGGAATCAGAAGGGTCTTAGGATCCTCACAGACCTCCCTGTTTCACTGAGGTGAAGCCTGGATCCCTGGATTTTCAAGCCCAAGGATTTCGTGCAGTCAAGCATGGTGGAACCCCAACACCCACGCACACACATAAACAAACAAGCAAATCACGCACAGAAAACAAAATCGGCAGACACACAAACACACAACCGTATACATGGATTGATGGTGCCCGCATGCACTGACTTGAAGCCACATGCATCAGGGCCGCTTTGAACCTCCTTGGACCAAGCCACACGGGCAGAACATTGGTGTTGGGTTCGGCTTTGCTTTTTTCTGGCACCAACTCTCTAGACGTGTGACAGGGTCTTGGGAGAACCGCTTTCGATTGCCCACCGCATACAGTGCCCGCATTTTACAGCACGTGGGCACGGTCCACGGAAAGTGCTGATCTCTGTCCCTCACATTTCACAACATCCACTCGTCGCTAGGAGCACAACACATGCACGCGTTTCATAATCCATGTTCCGCCTCACAAACTGCCAGCGTTCCTTGACGTTCCCTAGGTGCAGCGCTATACATTTGGCTGCCGGTCAGTTTTTATGTTGCCTTCCTCTCTCAGGTCAACACATGCGCGCATCATGTTTTTGTTTTTGTTCGCCAGGGTACGCATTTTTGGCTTGCTCCGCCATTTGGAGACCAAATTAATCCACATCAATCAAGGAAGCTCAGCTATGCTGCACCCAGGCGTGAAAATCTCTTCACTGGCTAGGTTTGGGGCTGAGCAACTGAGCAATTCCATCCAGCAAACGAGAGTGAACCGTTCATATTCCAGGCAGAGTTTGCCAAATTTCTGGCACTCCTGCCCTGTAGATTGAATAGTAGAAGCTAGAGCGATAACACCGGTCTTCCAAGTGGCAAGCGTTGCAGCGCAGTTCCCAGTGCAAAGTGGGGAATCAACTCAGTGCTCCGGCCTCATTTTTGCTGTTTCGGCTCGCAGCCACTCTGCGGCATGAATTTTGTTTCTTGGTCAAACACCCTTTGGTGTCGGCCTTGGTAGGGATGGTCATGAACCCCTTCATGGGGATTTCCGGCGAATTCCATCACCAGCGAATTCCATTCAGAGAGCCCTCACCATGGCCCGAGCACGGGGCTTGACGTGCGCCTGTCAGGCTGCCGGGTGCATCTTGCAGTTTGTGGGGCGCTACGCCTTCATGGCGGGCATCCTCAAGGACTGGGCTTTGGATTTGCGCATGGCTGCGGTTGTCAAAACCGTGTTGGGATCCCTTTTTGGGGTAGGCGCACCACCCATTTTTGTTTTTTTGTTTTTTTTTGGGGGGGAGGGATTGGGATGTGCACTGGGGGTACGGGCTTTTGACCCATGGCCACATCACCAGGTCCCTGCATAAGTATGCGATCGAGTGAACAGTCCGCTGAAAACGAGTTGTCCGTCCGAATCTGCGCCTCATTAAAGGCATCGGGCGCCTTCTCCAGCGGCGCAAGCAATACCTCCCAAGTTTCGGAGGTTAAACACCAGTTTTTCGCTTTCCTTCAATCGCAGGGTTTCTTCTCATCAGCCTAGCAGACCACTCGGCAAGTGCACGATCTTTCAATTCATTCTCGATGCGGAGTGTCATGTATCTTAGGGCCTGGGAGCTTTGACCTGGGAGCTTTGAGAACATGCTGGTCTTTGCAAGGCACTCAGCAAACAGGAACATGGACGCTATGCATCAGAATCATTGCTAGATGTTGTGTGTCTCACATAATATGTATATATATACACGTATTCATACATATATATATATAGTATGGAACATATTGATTGCCTGAGGGCTGGTATATTGAATATTGCCAAGTAGCCCGGCAAAGGGAGGGGGGCTGGTTCCCCAGACTCCCGGCGGCGCCTTTCCAAGCGGGGCATGGATCGGCTCAGGAGCGCAGGCGCTGCAAGGAGTATATCGGCTGGCTGCTGCAGCAGCTCAAAGGCGACACGGAAGGGTCACTTGAGACCTCGTGACATTGGTTGGGCTGCCATTTAAATGTCACCAGGCTGGTGCTTTTCTATGGCAGGTGCCATCTTGCATTTTGTCACTCATGGGTTTTCTGAGTTTTGGGACACCTTGAATTGGCAATTGCTCGTACTAGATACAGCGAGCTCTCCGATTTGGGGCGGGGAACGAGCGATTCCATCCTTTGTGAAGGCCTTTTATCGGGTGTTCCCTTTTTCAAACAAGGCATGCGGAAACGGCATCGCCCTACAGGCGTTTTCAACCAACCCAGCGGTATGTGGCAGCTTCAAGCACGGCGCAGTGAGGTGCGGTTACCATTCCGGATGTGTCCGATCGGGATGACTGCACAGACACTCGGCAAGCACAGAGTGTTAGGGACTCGACAAAGTAAGACATGTTGTGCCGCCTGGAAGAAGAGGGGGCTTCCAAAGTGGGCTTTTTGTTGACCCGACTTTTTGCGAGCTGTCTTGTGCTATTGCAATAATTACGCGGAAGTTTCCAAACAAAACGCTCGGGTCCAGCCAAAGGGGGTTCTCACTCTTTGGATGGTCACACGCTTGGCTGGAAGTGTTGTGGCCTCGTGCGTGGACGCGTGAACTGTTATGGCCCAGCACGCTACGCAGATCATATTCGACGTACTGTTGTGATGTTTGCTTAGATTTGACCGCATAAGAAAACACACATTGACAAAGTGTTCTAGTTGTTCTTTGGTTCAAAGAAGAGCAACCAGCACATGCAATGCTCAATCTAGAGTTGCTGGAAAATCTGAGGAGATGCACATCCCTGCGAACTGCTTCGGCCTCGGATATTTGAGTACCTGTTTCCAGTCTGGGATTCGGGATGATTTGCGGCATGCTGTGATTTTCCGACCGTTTCGGAGCCGAAGAAGGCAGTGAAGAACATACAGGATGTCCCTAGCACGAGCCTTTTGCATGCCACTCGGAACAGGGACGGACACGTCTGTGTCAAAGATCTCTGTTTGTGTCAAGGAGTCAGTTGAATCATTGCAACTATGATAACCTCACACCATTTGGGCTGAGGGGCCACAACTCGACTGTTGTGTGCTATCTTTGTCGTTACAGTCTCACAAGGTGGGCAACACGACTCCGGAGGCTTTCTAGGGCTCAGTCTTAGCCCATTTGCTTCTACAGGGGTTCTTAACCTAAGCCTGCCAAGTTCAGATTCAAAGGGTGTACCCCACCAGGGGGCCTGACCATTTGTGGTCACTGTTTTGGCACATCTTGAACATGCGCCCCTGAGTTCGGACATGACCAATTCTACTTCTTATAAAAGTGTTGTCGCTTCCTCTCACATTCTTGCTTCCCAAGACTGGTTTCCATCAATCATTTCGCTTCCCAATGCCGCTTTCTTCCAAAGAGGATTCACCAAAGTAGAAGTGGTACCAGCTTATTTGACAGAGGTTCCCGCCATTTCCAGCTGTGGATGGCAAGAATTGGGCTTTGGATCAGATGTTTGGTGATCGCCTTGCTGCCCTCCGATCCCTTGGGTTTATGAGAATCATTTTTGCGCTTGTTCTGCTGGACAAATTGATGGTCCTGGTTTACCTGGCGGTTAAATCATCTACCAGGGCCATCTAGTTCCCCTAAAAATGACACCCATGTGCGCTACACGCCCAAGTTCATGACCCATTGGCACGGCCTTGACTTTGTCAAGCGTCCTCATCCGGACTTTTTTGCATCACCTTTTGGACGGAGTTTCTTATTGGAAGGGTCGTGTTGAAAGAACTCTTGTTGAAAGGGTGATGTTGAAAGTGTCTTGTTGGGGCCACATGTTTCTGATTTTTCATTGAACCAAGGAAGCGGACCCTTGTGCCATCCCAGTCTGTCCACAAAGGCACACATCGCCGCAAAAGAGCTCTGCCCGGAAGGGGTGTTTTTGGCAGGTGCCCTTTTTGGGGTCGTTTTGAAAGGAATCAAATGGGTCAAACATCGCAGTTTCACGGCCATTCAAAAGGGTTGTCTGACCCCTATAAAGGGATCCTGTAAACAGTAGGCCAAAGGCAAAGCCAGCGCCCACAAAAGGTCTAGATTATTTGGCAAGAGCCAGGATCCAGAAACACGATTCAGTCTTCAAAGACTCCTCGTTGAGCATTTCCTGATTCTCCAACAGCTCTCAGGAAAACTCGGGTCTTTACAGACTTCCAAAGTTTCCTGAATATTTGGGTGTGTCAGTTTTTTTGGGGGATCCCAAAATGGAGATGTGCCTTTGGATTCCCTTCAAAACCACAAAAACGGTGTGCCCTCAAAAGAGATGAGCCACTCCTTTCGATTCGCAAAGCCCCCACAAAGCACGGGGTCCCAAGATAAGATGGACGGCTCGAGGTAAGGGCTGGGTCACGGGCAACCGCGGCAGCGAGCTGCGACGCATGGAGCACGAGATGCTCGGATTGGGAAAAGAGCGGGGTGGATTCACCGATTGGGTCGACGGACCGATAATCCAAATTATTGCAAAGGGCTTGAAGGGATTTCACCTTCATATGCTCTTTCCGGGTTAGCTGGGTTTTTTGTTGGGGGAAAGTGGATTGCAAAATTCCTGACGTCTTTAGTCAGCCTCTTCCCGTACGAAGGACTGTGTTTTGCTTCAGATGGACAGCAGTTGGGATGGATGAAACCCTATGACAGCTGATGATAAACCACCTACCAACGACTGCAGGACTTGGTTCATCCACAGTTCTATTTAACTGGGAGTGTCTCAAAATGCGCGGTTTTGACTTGCTTTCCCTTAAGGCAAACTCACATGGGTACCCACAAAGAAAGGCGCACTCTGTGAAAACATGGGCCCTTCCCTGCTGCAATAGTTTGCCGGCATTTGTTTGCCGCCCAGTCTGTACCCCATTTTAGAACGGTTTTTGGTGCTGCTCGGCTGATCCCCGCTTGATCCAGGTTGCATTGTGGGTAGTGTGCCATGGTCTCCGCGGAATGTGCCGTGTTGGCATCGCGGTTCAGCGGCATGTGATCTCACACTTTCTTCGGATGGATTACGCCTGTGCTGTTCTGAGGTTACCCTTGTGCAGGTTGGTTTAAAGGGAAACCAGCAGGAATGAGGAAAACCACCATTTTGGAATTTTGGAGGTCCTCTCGCCGTAGAATCGAGTACCTTGGTTAGGGCGGTGCAACCAAATGGTGTCAACTCATGAAGAGCTCAACCTGATAGAAGTATCGGTTTCATAGTAGTAACGGCGAATTGTTTTTCCAGCATCAGGGGATCAAGTGCAGCATTTGCCATCCCAAGCCCCTAAACATGGAACTAGGGACCATCTAAATTGCACTGCAGTTGGGCATCATGGCGTTTCTAAAGTCGCAGTTTATTGAAGCTTGTCTTCATATACCATGGACATCCAAAATGTATATATATATATATGTACGTATACATACACATACGTATATGTTGCGTATATATATATATACACATTGTGGCACTCCGCTTTTCGGGGAAAAAAGCAAGCCACAGGGGCGGAGTGACTTCAGGACGGCCACCTACATGTTCATGGCCCTGGACGGGCGCGGGGACGAGCGGCTCTGCATCTTCTGCCACGAGCAGGGCTCCAAGGTGAGCACCACTGGGCGCATGGCGCCTCGGCCACCGCCCACGACCGGGCCCAAGGCAAGGCATGGGCTGTGGTGGTCAAAACCGTTTTGGACGGATGGGAGCCCATTTTGGTTGGGGGTTGGTGAATTCACCACCCATTTTAGAGTCTTTTTGAGTGGTTGGATTGGGATGTTCACTGGGTATGACTTGGCTTTTGACCCATGCACCCATTTTAGAACCTTTTTGAGTGGTTGGATTGGGATGTTCACTGGGGGTACGGATTTAGTGGTTGGATTGGGATGTTCACTGGGGGTACGATTTGGCTTTTGACCCATGGCCATGGTTCGCCCAGTTGGGATGGGGCTTCTTGGGCTGCTTTGAACCTTCACCTTACCTATGAACCATCTCTTCTGATTTCTGATGTCCTAATGCTGAGAGCCTCTTGTCAGTTCTACTACTCGGTTTCATGCGATAGTAGGGCGACAGTCAGTGAAATATTTACGTACTGTCATCTTGAAAAGGCATGGTACGCCATGAGGACATCGGGTGTGCCCAATGTCATCTTAAACATTTTGGTAGGAGCAACGGTCAATGGGTTTTGGCCGCAAAGGTAAACGCTGCTCAATGTGTAGGTGCTTTACTTCGGGATCGGTGATCTAGGTTGATTCCAGCCTGTAATGGGAGCAAATGATAGAATCAGAGCTTGCCTTTGACCTTGGAAACGGAAAGAAATGGGACCTTCTGAAAGAGGCGTCTTGTTGAACGCCAGGAATGTCGAAGCCCTTTGAGGGTTTTCGCGTCCTCATTCTTCCCTAAACCGGGGTGGATCAAAACGTGGCGCACGGTAGGGCTGCATGGGGACATCATGGACGGTTGGGAGGGGACACCCAATGGGCTCAGGTTTCGATGGGCTCAACTTCCGCTAGTTTGTTGGTCATGGCCCATGGGCTGTTGGTCCAAGGGCATGTGGAGAGAATTCTGTGAGGCTTGAGACATGGTTTATGCCGATGGTTTGCATCTGATGGCTGCATGGCAGCTTGCGTCTGGGAAGGAGAACATGCTTACTGTAAAGCTTCATGCTGGTGCTGCATTCAATCTGGCAAGTTTGTGATGTCACAATTTTCCAGCACGATGTCAGTACCTTGTCCAGGATCTGCTTTTCTGCTTAGCCTCGTAAGTGGATATTTCTACGTGGGTGTTGCGGGTTTGTCTCCAAATGGCAGATCCTCCAAAGTGCAAGGTTCCCTTTGGGTTCCCTTTGCAAACACCTTTAACAACATATCACCTTCCAAAACCGCTAAAGTTTATTTGGGGCTCTTGTGGGTACCCCTTGGGTTGTACCACAATCGCCCACAGATTCATTTTTCACCATGACACGTCGCCTCTCACTGCAAGCACATGAGCTTGTCCATCGCGCTTGTTACAGACCTTTTCCTCAAGGGGCGTTTCCCTCAGGACGGTGCTGCACAATTCCATAGCTTCCTAGCCATGAGCCTCTCCGATGATCCCTTGACATTGGAATGCAAATATGCAGCTCAGCAGTGGCTCCAATCGACCGATCCGTTGATTCAAGATTTCGGAGCCAGGCTGCTGTGTCTCCTCACCTCAAAGGATGTGACATTTGGCCGACGCGGCTCGCATACACCTCCATGCGGCCTGATCCCAAGTGAATTTGAGCCATATCCCTGGAGCCCGGGGACTTTGCGCGGAAATGCCGAGCATGTGAAGCTTCCCAAGGATGCACCAGAGCTGGCCAAGACACCTTTGCGCGAATTCTGGGCGCTGGAGAATACCGAGAGTGTCGGACTGCGCCTGGGGGTGTTTTGGGCCTCCCAGCACTGGCGCTATTTGCCACACCTTTATGAACCCTTCGAACTTCATCATAGTCTGCGTGGGCATGGGCGATACTTCAAGCAGAAGTCCCATTGCCAGACCAAAGGCTTACCTTTGTCTGACCTCTGGCCTTTTTTCGGTTTTCCAGACCACTTCCCAACAAGTTGCCATTGGCCTAGTCGGATCGATCCGAGGTCCGAGGGGTTGGACATTGTGCCAGTGGCGCCTGGCGAAGTCTACCTGCATCTTCCCAGCGAGATCTACGGCTTTGAGTCTGGGGAGGAACCTCTGCTGAACCTATGGGCTGAGCGGGTGATGGATGTTCAACAGGTGCCGCGTGCGATCGCAGATCTTCGGGAAGTCATGGCGGATAAGGTGGGTGGGCAAGATTGGTTCAAACACATGGGCCCGCCAATAGCACAACAGGAGGCTGCCGAAAGAATGGATGTTACGCTTTCAATCAAGCGGCTGGCCCCAGGTGACGCAGGCCTTGACCCACACCGCGCATCAGTGGCTTCAGGCGTCGGGCCTTTGGCTCTTTGTTGCTCCTTGCAAGCAACGGGTGTTGGCAACTAGGGACCAGGGTTATTTCATCCCATCAGCCTACCACCACCTGATAAACCTAATCCCATTCACCCTGGCTTTTCCAACTGATCCCCACCCCCTCCCGCAAAAAAATGTCGCCTTTGATCATGGGGCCACAACCAATCCCATGGCAGGCGGAGGACCCCATGGTGCAGCTGTTTGGCAAGAAGCTGAAGCTCTTCATCACACCAAGGGACCCTGCCTTGCGTGAGGTGGTCTCCTCTGCTCCTCCCAAAGGGATGGTTTCAGCTGAGTTTCGAGGTTGCCCTTGGTATCCAAGCTTGGCATACACCAATTGCATGGACCCCAAGCTGAAGCCCTTGAGGGACTGCATTCTGTATGAAAAGGCAGATACGATGTTCGGCATGTTCTATGCTCCAGCTGGGACCTACTACCCAGCACATCGCCACGAACCATGGGAGATCTACCACATCTTTGAGGGGGAGGGCCTCTTTTTCCTGGGAGATGATGGTGGAGCACCAGCTCCCCCGCTGGCCTGGGAGCAGGATCCAAAGCCTTCATCAGTGTTATCCTGCGGTCCAGGGTCCCATTGGCTACATCATCCGTACCAGTCCCATGGAATGCAGATTCTGAGTCGTCCAGTCCTCATCCTTTGGGGTTGGATTGGCGATCTCTCTGGCGACTATGACCTCCGCTATTTGGAGAAGGACATCTTCCAATGCTGCAAAGGGCACACCTCGAAGCTGTGACATGCTTCCAGGCAATGGGGTGGCCCAGCGCTTGCCCGCCATTTCCAGAACACGGATCCTTCGCTTTTCCTTATTCGGGTTTCGCTCGGCAATTTGAATCGATCCGAGTTTTCTGAGCAAGTCTTGATGCTTCCACTTCCGCTCGCGCAATGAATCCGAGCCCTTGCTCGACCCTGTAAAACAATCAGCCCTGAGCCACAGGGATCGGCCACCGACCGTTGCACGTATTTTGCTTTTGCTGGACATCCACAGAGATGGTTGCAGCGTCACACCCCCTTCCTTGCAGGCCCGGCGGGCACTTCCAGCCAAAGAAGGAATGTCCCCTTTTCCCTTTTGGGGACCTGGCAGTCCCGTCCCCGCCTTTTTGCAGGGTCAAAACGGTCCCCGAAATTCCCCTAACCAAGCCCCAACACCTCCATGTTAGCCGAAATCCACAAAAGCGGGTCACCCAAACAGTCGTTGTCCATTGCTTCACTCGCGAAGCTCAGGCTGCAGAGCGCCTGGTCAACGAGTTGGTGCAGGAGTCGAGTCAGGTGTTGTCTGACGGTTTTCATGCACCGACTCCCGTTTCGGTTTTGCGAGGCACGGACCTTATTATTATGGCCATGGGTCAAAATCTCGCGCCCGCAGTGAACATCCCAATCCCCACTAAATATTAGACTAAAATGGGTGGTGCACCTACCCCAAAATGGTAACATTGGTGTTGACCCACAGCCATCTTGAGAAATGGAAAAGCAACCCCCTTCGGCACCTGAAGCTCGCGTTGGTTCCCTGTTTGGCACTCGATATGGCTATCGCCTCTAAAGGCCACTCACCCCTTGGTCGAATTCGCTCCCCTCGCAAATGATGTCCGGGTGCAACCAAGTGAGAGGAGGAGGAGGGGTGGGGGGTGGGGGGGCCAGGAGAAGCTGAGGGGCGACGAGGATGACCGGGGCCGTGGGCGCTCCGACTCTCGAAAGCGCAGCCCCCCCCGCCGCCACTTGGCGCGAGTGCGCGGGCGGGTGCCGTAGCCAAAAACCATGGTCACAAGACCTGAGCCTTGCTGGAAGTAGTAGGGTTTTAGTGTTTGTTCCCGAATGCGTAGCAAAGGGTTCTCGTTTCATCTTGGGTGCGGGTGAAGCCTTGTTCGCCGGATGTTGTGCAACCGTTCGCAACCGTCCGCAACCGTTCGTATGATTGCGCTATGGCTCTCCCAGTGGGGAAGCGCAGAACGCGTGCGTTTGATGACTTGTGATGTGCTGTTTTCGTTGGCCCTGGTCGCGAATCGTAGCTTCTCAAGCTCGACATGTCGTTCCGCTGCGCAGGAGCAGTGTTTCGTGAGGCTTCACGTTTGCGTTGCAAATGCAGTGGGATTCGCGTTTCAGGGGTCGTCGTTTTGAGGTGTGTTGCTTGGAATGCTCGCGCAAGCGTTTGCTGGAGCGTCGTTTTCGTTGGCCCTGTCGTACAATCGGCCGGTTTTCACGACTGCAGATTTGCAAGAAATCGATCGAAATCATTCTGGCGCTACAGTCCCGCGCTAGTTTTCCGCGCGCGGTGCGAGAGTGTAAAATTATGATTTCGTGGCAGGCGCAGCATTTTGAGCGTTCTGCGTGTCGCTGTAACGTGATTTTTCGGGCTTTTCGTGCAGATTTCGCGGCAGGCGCAGTACTTTCGAGCTTGCGCGCCGATGTCGTGGCAGGCGCAGCACTTTGGGTGGGTCGAGTCCTCGCTGTGGCGCAGTGCACTTTTTGGGTGGGTCAAATCGCTCTCGCTGTGGCGCGGTGCACTGATTGAAAATGCAAAGTGAGCCCTTTCGCTGTGGCGTGGCACACATTTTGAGAATGCAAAGTGAACCCTCTCCGCACTTTGGGTGGGTCGAATCGCTCTTGCTGTGGCGCAGTGCACATTTTGAGACAAGAAACGTGGCGAGAGACCTTTCTCAGACGTGTCGCTCAGAAGTGTCGACGAGAAGCGTCGATGAGAAGTGTTGCGGGCCAAACTTTTCTCTCAAGACTTGTCTCTCAGGACTCAAGATTTTCCTCTCCAAACTTGTCTCTCCAAGCTTGTCTCTCAAGATTTGTCTTCCCAAACTTGTCTCTCAAGACTTGTCTTTCAAGACTGTTCTCTCCAAACTTGTCTCTCCAAATTTGTCTCTCAAGATTTGTCTTCCCAAACTTGTCTCCTCAGACTTGTCTCTCAAGACTTGTCACTTGTAGACTTGTCTCTCCAGACTTGTGTCTCCAAACTTGCTTGTCTTTCAAGATTTGTCTTTTTAAACTTCTCTCCCAAGACGCGTCTCTCAAGGTTTCTCTCTTAAGACTTGTCCCTGCAGGACTGTCCGGGTTCGTGAGTGACCTGCATATGATCCCCAAACTTTTCTCTCAAGACTTGTCTTTCAAGACTTTTCTCTCCAAACTTGTCTCTCAAGATTTGTCTTCCCAAGCTTGTCTCTCCAAACTTGTCTTTCAAGACTTTTCTCTCCAATCTTGTCTCTCCAATCTTGTCTCTCAAGATTTGTCTCCCCAAAGTTGTCTCTCCAGACTTGTGACTTGTCGACTTGTCTCTCGAGACTTGTCTCTTCATACTTTTGACTCAAGGCTTGTCACTTGTAGACTTGTGTCTCCAAACTTGTCTCTGAAGATTTGTTTTTTAAACTTCTCTCCCAAGACGTGTCTCTCCAGGGACAGTGCGTATGTTTTGATGACTTTGTTGTTTTAAAGACTTTGTTGTTCACATTCGCAATTTGGTTTTGTTTTGCTGGGCGACGTTGAAGAGATGTATCGCACCTGCAATACTCAACTCAAGCCTCACGTTTCCATTCAAGACTTATGTAGGCATTCGGGTTCGCGGGCTGCATCTGGTTTTTGTTGCCAAGATGCGGTTTGGTTGAAAGGGCTTTTGTCGAGCTTTCAAGTTGGTGTGGGATGTTTGGGAGCTCAGTGCCCTTCAGAATGGCCATGGGTGTGGGGACTTGGGGAGAACTTGCTTTTGGCGGCAAAGGATCTGAGGCGCCCAAGCTGGTTCCTTGATCTCTCTCTCTCTCTCTCTCTCTCTCTCTCTCTCTTCTCTCTCTTTTTCTCTTTCTTGTTAGGTTTCTTTGTATTTGTATCTGTCTCTTTCAACTTTCTTACTTATTGTTGTTTCCTTTCTCTCTTTCTTCTTTCGCTTTCTCCTGATTATCTTTCTTTGTCTTTATCGTTCTTGTTATTTCTCTTTGTCTTTTCTCTCTTTCTCTGTCTGTTGCTGCTTCTTTCATCTGTATATACGTCTTTCTGATTGTCTATATCTTCTTTCTGTTTCTTTTCTGTCTCTCTTTATCTTTCTCGTTATTGTTCTCTTTCTCTATCTGTCTCTTTCTCGGTATCTTTATCTTCGTTATTGTTCTTCCCTGTCTCTGTTCTTTTCTCGTCATGTTTATATTTATAGTATTGGTGTCTCTTTTATTTCTCTTTCTTTCATGTTTGTTCTGTATCTTTGACTTTATCTGTCTCTTCTTTCTGTTTATTTCCCTTCTCTCGTTCTCTTTGTCTGTATCGTTTCTTTTTTTTGTTTATATTTATCTTGGACTTTATCTTTTTCATTTCTCTCTTTTTGCTCTGTCTCTGTCTCTGTCTCTTTCTCCGTTTGTTTTTATATCTTTAGCGTGCTCTTTCTCTTTATAGTCTTGTGTTCTTTGATTTCTCTCTGTTTGTCTCTTGTTTGTTGCTCTGTTGTGTTTATTCTTCTTTCTTGTTATCTCTTTTCTTTCTCCGTGTCTTTTGTTTATATCGTATCTTTTTTGCTCTTGCTCATTCTCTTTAACTGGCTTGTTCTCTTAATATGTATCTTCTTTTTCTGGTTGTCTTTCTCTTCTTTCCCTTTCTCTTCATATTGTTTTTCTTCGTTTATCTTCCTTTCTCTTTTTCTTTGTACTTGTCTTACTATTCATTTTTTTCCTTCTCCTTCTTCTTTCTTTTCTAGATGTGTCACGTATCTGCACTTCACGCTGCGAAAGTGTTGCGATTGCCACAAAATCTGCACTGACGTTGAGAATCTGCTGCGCCTGTCAGCGATTTGTGCCTGGCAAATTCTACACCTCAGGCTGCCTGGGCCACACAATCTGGGTAGCTTTCAGCCAGCTGGAGAAGCCGCAAGCGCATGCTTTCTCCCGTGTGCTCCCTTCTTTCTCCATGTTGTCTCTGTGCTACCTCCAAGTGGTGTCGCAACATGGAAGTTCCTTCTTAACTTCCTGTGATTAAGACCACATGATCCTGGCCACGTGAGTCAGGTTCAGGTCAAGTCCCCATAGCCAGCGTAAGCCTCAGGCGTTGCTGCGAATCAACCATCCCTTGTGTTCTTTGGGCATGTTCTTGCGGAGGCTGCGAATGGATCTCATGTCACTTATGCATTCTTCGGAACTTTTGAAGGAATGCGCCAGAAGCGTGTACGTAGTCAGGGTGTAGCTCCAAAGTGGTCGAGTTGTCATGGCGATTTGGTACACGGAGAGGCCTCAAGGCTTGTTGGGTTTCAATTGTCGTTTTCCTTTGAAAGCCTCCGAAGACGCTCAACAAGTAGACACACCCAGGTGGTTGGTCCCATCGGTGAACTTTTAGATCTGTTTGGTTGCAAGTAAACGGAGTCAACTGGCTTTGCAACTGGCCTTCCAATGGGGCCAATGTCGTGTGAATGTGATGGTGAATGGGGTCATACCTGCTAGGTACATAGTCTCCTACTTTGGGTCCGCGCGATACTGTTTGTCGTACTTGCAACATGGTTGATGGAAATCGTGTTTTAGGCAAAGTGGAGCCATGGCAACAGGATTCTCACTTTGGTATCAAGATGTTTCTTGTGCTATTTTCCAATTTGGAGGTAATCCCCTAGAGCGTTTTTTGGAACGGAAATCGGAAATCTCAACGGTACCCGTTTCGGGGGTGGTTTTAATGGGCAGCCAAAAGGAAAGCAGCCACTTTCAGAGGTCCCCTATTTTGTATTTTCCGCACCAGTTCCTTCTTGGAAGGACACCCTGAGTACCGGCTAGGGTTTTTTCTGCCATGAGTCTCGACTTTTGAAGCCTTTCGAGGGTACTCTTTTTGGATGGCTTTGTTTGCACTCTCCGGATTTGGGACATGGCGAGCTGCATGTCGACCATGAAGAGCCGAAGGTATCAGAGGATTGTCCAGGACGTCCTTTCTGAACAAAACCGTCCTGGTACATGAAAACTGAAATTTCCTGGTTTTCCTTGTGCACCATGATACATTGTCCAGTTTTCCTTGGTTCCTTTCCTTTCAACATAAACGCAACATGGGTGTGGGTCAAAATTGAACCACTTGGGGACCACAGGTTTTCAGTCCATGTTTAACCGTTTACCAGGGCAAGCCATGTTGGGGTTACTGTACCCTATTTTTGACCCACAGCCACATATTCCGCTGGTACATGAAAACTGAACCAAACTGAAAGCAGAGGAATCCATCTACATCTACTCGCACCCAATCAACCCTCTGGCGGTCCCCCTGCAAATCTGTGGGGCTCGGCAGGGTCACCTAGTCCGCCTGTCCTAGGAATGTGAGGCGAGGTCAAATAGAAGGGTGGGATTCAACCGTACACCCTGCAGGGGAGATGCTTCCTAGTATGGTGAATTGTTCTTCGCACATAGCGTCCAAGGCGACTCGCGCCGGCGCTCGCGGGGCCCTTGGTGGTTCGGTGATGTTGGCTGACTTGTCAGCTGGCATGGATTGGACCAATGGTTGATGAGTCTTCACTCCATGCTTCTCGGGGCCTTTCATTGCAGATTCAAGGGGACCTTGAAGTGTCCTGCGCGAGTTCCCCAACCACCAGAGCAAACAAGTGGCGAGCAGAGCGTCGGTTTCAGCCGCGTGTTCCTCCGCTTCTTCGCAAGGCCGGCGCGACGGTCACCGTCCTACAGGCGAGCAGCTTTATTCAAACTGCTTGTGGGTCGTGTTTGTTGAGCATGTCTATGTCCTACGTTCTTCTTTATTTCGGCGAACCGCCTTTTCCATCAAGCAGGCTGGTTGTATTGCCTGGATTTCCGTAAAGCGACAGTGCTGGCGCCTTCGAGTATTCAAGCTGTAGCGTTTCAGCAGCACGTGAGGAAGGACCTGTTGATAGAGGGCACATCCAGAAGCATTCTCTCGGCACTCATTGCGCTTGTGGGCAATGCTGCAAAGCAAAAGAGCATGCAGCACATTCAGCATGGACCTTGCCTCATTGAACTTGCCACTTGCCCCAGACTTTCTTGAATGAGACCAACTTAGAACCCTCCTTCAAGAGAGAGAGGGAGAGAGCACGTGTTAGTCACAGCTAGATTAGTCACAGCTAGAAGTCTGAAAGCGTGCCACAGTTGGGTTGGGACTGCAAGCCTGAGCAGGGCGACAAATGGCCAAAATAATGTGCATTGCATGGTATGTACATGGATGTGCTCCTGACTAAGCACGGTTAAGCAAATGGTGAAACGTGCCTTCCTCGCCAGGGGCGGCGGCGGGGGACGTCGAGACTCAAGAGCCCGCAACGACTCGCGGCGCCGCTGAGGTGCTTGGTGCCGGGATGGGGTCAGTGCACGGGGAGATTCATCACCCAAGAGTACGATTTGGTTGTCTTATGAATACGTAAGGAACCCCAAAGGAGCGCTGTCCTTTTGTTTTTGTTTTAAAAAACCCCGGAGGGTACAAAAGAAGACACGGTGATTGTGTTCATTAAAAGAGCAGCGACAGTTCCATTTGATTTGGCGTTCGGTTTTGAACTTGTGCAAGCAGACTGGCTTGTCTGCACGGGTTGGCGAGATCGTCTCTGTCTAGTCTTCAAAAGTTTCAAGGTGTACCGTTCCAAGGGTGTCCTGTGATGCGAAAAGGACGAAACCGGCGGCTTAGCTGTATATTCCCGAAGCTTCGTGTGACTTGGCATGCATCCCTTGCCTTACACAGATCAAACGTTCAACGAGCCCTTGCACCAACTTGGGCACGTCTTGTCTGTGATAGGATTGGGACTTGCACCCCTTTGCAGTTCACCTCACTCACCGCCCAGCAGGTGTTGGACCTTAGACCTTGCTGGAACGTTGGAAGGGCACAGGCAGCGAGAAAGGCCCAGCAGAATGATTTGTTTGCATGGGCAACGTGTGGCTAGGTGCAGCAGCCCTGCACTCGGGTATGGAGGAAGCAGCAGTTGCTGCTCTTTGCCTGTTCTTCTCATTCATCTACAGCTGGAGTTTTTGTGCTTTAGGTTCAGTTAATTGTCAAGCCAGGGTTTGCTCACCCGCAACAAGTCCCCACACTGGCACTGACAATAATCACACAACCACGAGCTTCTCCAATTGACAAGCGATACCAACCATGCACTTAGCATTACCAGACCTCCCTGGAAGCTGAGTTCCAACAACAGGGGGAAATTGCCTGGCAGAGAAGGAATGTTTGAAATAGGAGGAAGCATGGGTTTACAGACTCAACTCACCTCCCAGTTGAGTTGCATCATGTTGACAGGGTGTAAGTCTGGCCAAGAACCATTCACCAGCAAGGCAAGCGAGCAGAGGACATTTTCCTTAACCAGCAAGGAAGGTGACCCATGCAGGTGACGTGACCCATGGGTTTCTTTAGGCCCCGTCATTTCGCGCGGCGCCAAGGCAGTCGGCTCTTGAGACTTTAGGCTGCTCACGTGGAGCAATTCGCCTGCCCAGCGCGAGCCACAATTTCTTGGTTTGGCCTATGGAGCTTCTTGGAAACGCATGGCTTCCAAGTTTTAGAAGTACTTTGGAAGCCCGTTGTGGACGCTGGCTGGAGACCTCGTGGGCAGCCATGGCCAGTGTGATTGCTGTTTCAGGCACCACCTGGAGCCTTGCACGGAAGCTGCCGGTACAGGTTTGCCACAGAGAGTTTGTCTTTCCTACGGGGGTCATTCTTGTGGCCGATTGAGAAGTGATGACCTGGGCAGTCAAGGCTTGTACTCCATCAAATCGTGTTGGCAGGAGTCTGGAACTGGCAGCAAAGGCAGAAGATTCTGGCATAGTCTAGAAAAGATGCAGAATGCATGCGACCAGGCGCCGTATCACGAGGTCAAAAAACGCCGTTGCCGCTGCAAACGGCTGAAACTGTTGCGTTCCGGGCCATGCCGGCCTGATTGTTCGAGGTAGAATGTAACTTCTCTCAATCTGCCGGTCCCAGACTTGGAAGTGAAATGCTGATTTCTGGCAGGCAGTTCATTTGCCTTGTGCCAACGTGTCTTGTGAGAGACTGTGACCTCAGAGCCATAGACAGTTGCTGGGTTTCAGAGTGACACATTTCCGCATGAAGCCTTGATGCCATCTTGATGCTTCAGATGCTTTCGGGTTTGACTGCTGATTCCGCTTTTCCAGGCGCCATTCCGAAGTTTCGCCCGGGCCAAACAGTCTCAGTCCCAAGTTGGAGCTAGCAGCTGCCTGCGCCATTCCCGGCAATGCAGCTGGCAGCGATGCCCTGTACGCCTTTGGCGCGCAGGACCCGCGAGGGAAGTCCAACCAAAAGGGTTCCAATCGAGAAAAGTTGCTCCAAACCTTGAAGCAATGGCCAGACGACAAGGATAGAAACTCGGGCTTGCGCATTTTCGTTGTCTTGCGCATTTTCGTTGTCCTTCTCACGCCCAAAAAATACTACCCGTTCACGGGTTCAGCCAGCAAGTCAACTTTTGAGTTGCCACATAGTAATTTCCTTTGGTTTCGCGCTGATTCTCCTTTAAACCAACCTACAAATGGGTGCCGTCAAAAACAAAGACCCACTTCACCTTGACAGTATTAGGAGGACTTCAGCAAATCGTAATCTACAAGCTTTTTGCTCGCGAAGGTTTGCACAGCTTCGGTGGGCCTCCAGTTGTCAACTCAAACCATCGCTACCTCCGTTGCGCGCGCGTGGTTTTCTTTTGGTTTGCCCGCACGCACCAAAAGGATGTCCTCTGATGTTGGAGACCGCCCATTTTTGAGTGTGGGTCCTGTTTTGAAGCTTGGTACCCGTTTCGGGGTTGTAAGAAACCTATTAGTATCAGGTGTGAAGTACATACATGTTGCTCTCACATGTTTTTGATTTAGGTTTCACGCACTCCCCCAATGTGAATGATTCAGCACTGCCGCCTCTCCCTTTGTGCTACGCATCACTCAAATGTCTCCTGTTGGATTCCTCAGTAAAATGATCTTAGATGCACAAAATATCAGCCAATTTCTGCCCAGCCTTTCACTGTGGAATTGGATATAGCGGTATGGATGGCCATTTTGAAAACAAGTGTCGACCAGAATATCCTACAGTGGTGTCAACCATAAAAAGCAGCGAAATAAATCGAGCCCCAGAAGGTGCCCCAAATAAAATCCATTCACAGATTCGAACCCAACCACCAGCTTTACTCGACGTTTTCGGGCTCCCACAACGCTACAAAACAGTGCTAACGTGACAATCAGATCCCATATGCAAAGAAGCGAACTCAAGCTGAGAAGGCAACATCCCACAGCTGCATGTCTAATACGTTAATATGCAGATCTTGGGCTGTGCGTGATGATCCACCCAGGCGCCTCCAGCGATTGCCTCAGCGAATGGCTCGATTCGCCGCCCGTTTCGGCAGGATGGCTGACTTTGGATGGTGTGGCGATCCTCCGGCGGGACAGGCAAAGGCGCAGAGCGGATGGGGTGGCAGGCGAATTGTTGGGTAAGGAACTCCCTCTCCTTTGTGCGGTGTTAAAGGATCTTTAGCACTAACTAATTGCTGGACATGTTTGCTTTGTTCCATGGACTCAAGCAGCCCTCGATTGAGAGTAAATGGGAAGCCCCCAATGCTCCGAACAAATCCAAACCACCAAAGGGCCCAGTTTCTGTGGGCCACCCCTGCCTTTTGGTTGTTGTCAAACAAAGTTTTGGGGACTGCCTCCTTTGGTTGTCAAAAGAAGAAAACAACCAGACGTTTGGGTATGTTTGGGTTGATTTGTAAAGAACAAGGGGAATCCGTGCACCATTTTGGAGGGACGCTCGTTCTGACGGCGCTTTTATATGTTTTTCAGGATTTCAGTCTGCAGATTCAAATGGAACCAACAACAGCAGCTTGGAAGGAATGTCCTTGTGCCTTTGTGAATTCGTATTATGAGTTTGCAGGGAGGATTTTTGTCCAGACAATCTACTTGCGGATATCTCCAACTGTAATCTCATGCGGTTGGTAATTGATCTCAGGAAGCAGCCGTAAACCCGACCATGTTCAGCGGGGGCACGGGCAATTTTCCGATGCCCCCCCCCATTCACTGACACAGAGCCTGACAGTGCGTTCTTTTTAGAGGAGTTTGATCTTCCAGGTACTTGTGAAGCAGTTTGCACACAGAGGCAAGCCGGCCACTTGCGGGTAAAACTCTCGCGTGTGCCGCGAGGAAGGGGCTGGAGAATGCTGAAGAAATCAATCATCGCATGTTCCTTCCTTCAAAGCCTTTGCATAGCCCAAGACCGAACCATTTAATACGGGCAATCGGACTCCAAGATCAACGAACAGCGGCAGCTGGAGAGACTGCAAGCAACGCCGCAGGATGCGCGACCAGAAGTCCCTGCACAGTGCCAGATGCCACAGGCAGGAAGCGTGCGGGTGGGCGTAATAGATCCAGACAGGTGTGTCTTTCCTTGGGGGAAACCAAGGGGAAACCACCCGTAGATCTTGGGGGAAGGGTTCCCTATTCCCTATTAAGAGCCAAGCCCATGCTGACCAATATCGGTTGCCTGTGCAAATAGCAAGAAGCAGCACAGGGAAGGGATGTCGAGACAGGCCATTTCTGTTTAACAGTTCGTCCTTTGTGTACTCTGTGTCCAACATGTTCAATGAACGATCAGGAACGCATCTGTGAACATCGTAATGGGGGGGTGTTTGTGCGACAAGCATGTGGTGTGCGATAGCGGACCCTGAGGGGCGATGTTCGGGTTGAGCAATCCTAAATATGTCACGTACGATTTACCGGAACACCGTGTGAGTCCAACCACACGGAACATTTCTCCAAATAGCCTTGTTCTCGCAGAAACTTTTGGCATTGTGGAAAGAGTTTAAGGGCGTTGCGTCCTTTCTTGTTCATCCCCATTATAATAAAGGGAGTAAAATCATTGCACACACTATTTTGCCATGGTCTTCTGCTTTGTTGGGCAGCGGCTTGTCGGAAATTGCGAGGGATGTGAAAGCTGCGCGCCCTCGGCACCACATGGTTGGCGGCCCCGGTCAGTGACCGGTCAGTCCAGAGCAAGTGCTCCTGCAGTTGTGAGCCTGGCACTTCGAGATTGGCTCTGGGAGGTGATCAAGCGGCCGCGTTCATTAGCCGCGTTGGAGGCGTGAAGCTGTCGTGGCGTTTTGGTATCCCGCCTCGGAGCTTCGTCCTTGACTGGCTCAATCCCGGTGGGAGACACCAAGGTTCCACCCAGCTAGGGAGGCGCCTCGCTTCGTTGTCGCCAGCTTGAGACCAACACGGCCTGATCTCTCTCCTCTGGGAAGCACGTTTACGTAGTGGGTCTGCCGGAGTTACATCACGAGCGTGCATCCTGGCTTCGCGTGCATTTGGACCGGGATTTGCACGGCTTGCACACCGAACGTTGACGTCTTTCCAGAACAGATTTCACTGGAGAACACAGTGGCATCATGGGAACAGGGTGTGTGTGCAACGATGGCATCATGCCGTCAGTTCCAGACCTTTGCTTGACGCAGCGTCTCTTAACATGCGCTTCAGAGGTAGCAGGGACTGGCAGCAGCTGCGCCGTGGTAGCCCAGTGGTCGGAGTTGTTTTTGCCGGTGCTGCGGGCAGTTTGGTCTATGTGACGAGAGTGGCTGTGCAGTGACTGGCTTTGCGCTTTCAGCATTGAAGGATGTCAAAGATTACTTACAAGGGGAAGGAGGCGTCTGCAGACTCATGGCTATTGGGATTGAATTTTCAGGGCACTGTCTTTTCGCGTACCCGAGTTGTGGGCCAAGAAGGGGACTTAAACCAAAGGTGGCAATCATGTACAGCGTAAGGCCCACCGGTTTACGAAAACGCGACAAGGGAACGCCCGCCTCTCTTAGATGCACACCAAAGCAAGCGATAACTCATGAGCCTGTCAACTGGAAGCAGGTGAGCAGACAAAACCTTTCTTCAGTTCCCACACAAACAAGGGGACTCTTTCAGGGTTCCCTGTATTTCCTATTTTTGAGAATTGCCAACTAATTGAAAGTGAGTTCCCTGACGGGGTAATGTTAGGTTGGAAATATGGGCACGTGTGAAAATCGGGGGGCCCGCCCAAATGCAGGATTTCGGTGTGGTTCCCGTTAGGCCCACGCCCACGCACCCACAAAAACCTATATAGGCCCCCCCACATTTTTTTTGGAGCAGCCCAGGGCACCAGGCCAGAAGCTCTGCAAGCCCCGCTTGCCCCGCAAGCTCCGGCCACTCCACTGCGGGAGGCGGGAGGCTTCTGAACTGGGCACGTTGCGGCTACCATGGGGTAGATTCTTTAGGATGTGTGTCGTTTTGGAGCAAGATCCAAATCGACCAATACCCGTTTTGTTGTGTTTGGGTTTTGAGACAGACTGAAAGAGAAATGACAAAAGAGCCCATTCATCTTTGGGGGGTCCGTTTGGCAAACTCAGGTTTTGGAGCGTACCCCAAACTCCCAATGCTGGATGTGCAACCTGTAGCGTGCTGTCAGGTGAGGCAAGAAGCGAATGCTGCGGTGGCCACGTACGACGCATGGCCCAAATGGGGATTGTTTCCTGAACAAGACTGCATAGGCGGTTGAAGAGCTGGTTATTTCCCTAAGCATCAGGAAGGAGAGGGAAAGGGACCCCCACAAGATTTGTGACCTCAACAAGGACCCTTGTGAGATACCAAGATCCTTTTTTGTTTTCCGGGGGCTCCAACCACTTATTGGCTGAAGTGCTAGTTCTAGGGAGAGTTTTTAAAAGTTGAGATGCACAGTTTGCGCGCCTACATTGGCCCGACAGGGTGTGACATGCAGTCAAGCATACCCACTGAATCTCCTGGTGTTTTCATCCCACTGCAAAGGGAATGAAGGCAGACATTTGACTGCACGTGTGGAGAAGGTGTCATATGAATTGGTCTTTTACCCCCAAGTCTTTCAGCACACGTCTAGAATGACTTTGGGCTTGTTTTGTCCGGCATCAGTGGAATGCAAACTTGCCAAGAGCGTGAGGTTATAGCGGCTCCAGCAAGTTTGCACACACTATGCCCATTTGGATCAGCAGTTTGCAGTGTTTGTTCAACATGTGTTTGAACACCATTTTGTTCGCTTTGTTGTTGAATTGTATATAAGACACAAGAAAGGAAATTCGAGACACATACCCGATGTAGGACCAACATGAAGAAGGACGTGACTCATAATTGTGAGCTCCCTCTCCTCTAAGCAAAGGACATGGCAACGTGTCAAAATTAGGGTCAAGACCCTCCAAATGGTCACGGAGTCATCATTTTGAGATATGGCGGTCTTTTTCAAATGGTTCCCTTTCGAAATTTCCACTCCGGTCTATTGGCTCCCCGGTTCGTAGATTTTGTGACAGTTGCACATTTAGTGCTTGCTTTAGATAGGACACTTTTGGCATGGTGTTCATGGGAAACCAACGACATCGGGCCCCATGTCAACCTTGCCGGTGCTCAGTAGGGAATGTGGGAATGAACCTGGGGATTCTGGTGCGATAGGCAGCGGAATGAGGCAATGAACCCTATGCACCATCCCTTCTGGTTTCCAAGAGAATCCCCAAGAAACCATACGGGATGGTTCACAGGGTTCATTGCCTCATTCCCCGCCTATGGCACCAGCACGTAGCGGGGTTCGACTCCTCTTGCCAAGGCGTCCAGGGACTCCCAGGGCCGCGTCTGGGGTGTCCCCAACGCCGGTGGCCGCGGTCAATGTCTAGACTGCCCCAGGAAGGCGCCCGATTTGCGCTGCTCCCGATTTGCTAAGCTTTGGCGCATTTTGCCAAGGGATGTTGGGACTTTAACTTTTTGCCAACTAATGGGCTTTCCCATTAAACCGCTGAAAGTTGAACTTTTAGCAGGGGAGCAGAAAGCAACCGAGTAAACATGCAAGCCAACAAAACCATCATTTTAACCCCTCCGTTGTGAGCTCCTCCATGTTGATTTGCAGGGAAGCATTTGGTTTGATCCTTCGCCGTGTGTATTCTCTAGAAGATCATGTTCCTCTAGAAGGGACCCTTTGGCGGGTTCTATTGGGTCCAAAGAAAGGAAGCGGGCAGGAACGAAAAAGTCATGTTTGGTTTGCCGGGATGTCGAGCAACAGGTTAGGTGTGTATGCGGTACAGAACAATGCATTTGTTTTTGAGCTTTTGACTAGCTAAGTAAAGGATGATGCGAACCCTGAACGCTTGTCTTGACTCTCTTGGGGCTGGTTTGCAGAACGAAGGTGAGTGCAAAGCTGAGCACAACTTCAAGAAGTGTTTGTCGCGCTTGTGGTTGCCAAGGCAGGTTGCGGAAATCGTTCTTGCGGAGCAAGCTCCCTTCTCAACTTGTCTGATGTTCCTTGTGTTTGGCAGGCCAAGCTGCCAAGTACGCGATGCGCGGAATGTCAGCTGCGCTCGGGTGCCCAGAGACTGTTCCGCCGAGAGGTAGGCTCTGTATGATTCCTCAACCGCCACTTTCTTCTGGGGGGAACGACCAAGGGACCTGGGCCCCCCCCCCATTTTCCCGCCCACGCCCACCCCCCACCCCCCTCCCCCAACCCCCCCCAACCAGACGACCAGCAACCAGACGACCCGACGACCCGAGGCCGCTCGCAGGGGCAGCCCATGGCGGACGTCAGCGCCCTGCGGGAAGCCTTCGATCGCTTGCTGCAGCGCCAGCCGGGCCGCCAGGCGCCTCGATCCAGGGGAAGCGAAGAGAGGTGCCGCTGAGAGCACGCGGCTTGCCGGAGTTTTGGATGTCTGTGTGTGTGTCTCGTGGAATTTTGAAACGCATGCATAAGCAATATATGTATAAGTATATATATATGCACATGAGTGTATGTTGCATATTTCGTATGATTTTATCCATATATATATATACATATACACACATTCACATGGTATATACACGTGGACATGTTCTTCGCTTGTTGGGGGGCTCGGAGATAAAGCTGAGCCATCCAAGCCGCACTCCCAGCTGGGCACCCCTCGCCCTTTTGTGCTCGATGCTCTTTGCCTATGCCCTTGCCATTTCAAGGGTAAACCATTCTAGGGGTTGAGTCCTTGTCCATTCTTTTCAACCATTGTTCTTTTCAAAAACCAGCTATTTTCCCAGAGTGGTTTTCTAGAGAAAAGGATCCCTGCATGGAAAGAATGGGGAAGCTACCCTTAGAACCATGACTGAACCATGACCCAAGCTGTGTCACGGGTGTGGCACTCGTGAAGGGTCGACAAGTCACTGACGGATGCGCCCAAATGTTCCAGGTCTCCAGGTTCTGGTAGCCAACTGGCGCCCTTTTTGCAGGCGCAGATTCAGGTCCGCCTGGATGCTCTCTATACGCAGCTGCAGGGCGGGCAGATCTCCGATGCGCTTCAAGACCAGCTGTGCCTCCTGCACATGCAGGGAAGTGAGTAAAGGATGAGCCAAGTTGACCATTAAGAGCAATACGCTTCCCATCAGGCCAAATAGGAAACCAACATGTTGGACGGGGGTTCATGGTTTAGGTGGACAACTTAAGAACTTGTTAGGTTTATTAGTTTTGTTGATGGTTTCAGTTTGGTTCCAAAAGTCACCCCTACAAACGATATTTCTCGTCATCTACTGTAGAAGCAAAGGGGTGAGATGATCAACGGTGTTGAGACAGCTTCATGCTGCAATATGTTGCGCATGTTTTAGAAAGATGCCACATGTGTTGTTTGTTTTTGCTTCTTTCTGGTTTTGCCTCCTACGATCTTTGCATTTTTGTTCGTGTTTGTTTGACAACGGTGGCTGCATTGTATTGGGCTCGCGCTCGACGTCAACTTTTGCTCTTGCTCTGTGTCTGAAGCCGTGCGTGTCTGGTTGCAGCTGTCTTGAATTTTTGGCATGGGACTTCTCGACTGCCTTGCGTTGATCCTTCACCATTTGGACAAAAACGTCGCAGCACTTGCTTGCGCCATTGCATGCCTTTGCACACCTTTGCGTCGGGCTGCATGCCCAGCTTCAACATGTTTTTTGCCGGGCATCTTTGCGTGGACGCTTGGACAATTCTAGTCTTGGCCTGGCACATGTTTGTCCTGCTTGCTCTTTGTGTTATAACCAGCAGTTTGTATCTTGGCAAGCCATACGCCATCTCCGCTCAACCAACTTCATTGCACGTTCGATATACATATATATATATACATACTCCTTTAATTTGGGATTTTAGTAGAGTGATTTGTTTTCCGATTTCCTGCTTGCCAGGCAAAGTGAAGCAGCCCCAAGGTTTACGTAGGATAGATTAGCAAGCCAGATGCTTCATTTTGGGAGAGTCCACCAGGCTCAGTCATCTGAGTGCTTCCACTTGAGAGGCAACTATTGAGGTGTGGTTTGCTTTGAGCTCAGTAGTAACTCGGTAGGCACTCGTAGATAAGCATGTTGCGGAGTTCCAGCTAATTATTCGGCTTGCATCGCATGTGTTGATGGTCTTTGCTCCAGTTGCTTCATGTTTGTGTGAGGGCAAGCAGCTTGGTCAAATATATGTTATCCATTGTGAACAGATCTGGTTTCTCAGGCTTGCTAAGGGGGTTCATCAGCCCTGCTTAGAAGTGTCAACCAGAGCCAAAAGCCAAGGTTATGAAGCCTTGGTTGTGTTTCCAGGAGATGAAAGTCCACCTAGCAGTGTGAATTCCGTGTTTCCAGCTTACTTCTTTGCCTTTTTCGCAGACCCGTGTGTTCTCCTTGTCCCCCGTCTTTCCCACGTGTTTTGCCATGCAACACGGCATGGCAGAGGCGCTTCATAGGCTCCGCCGAGCCCAAGCAGGCACAGGCGAAGCTGCAGGAAGCGGATTCATCCCGTTTTTGCGCGCGCGGTTGGTTTCGCCGAAGTGGCGGCTGCTTTTTTGGGGGGGCTATTTTTTGGAGGAAGACGGATCTTGGGTGATTTGAAGGGACACCCACATGGAAGCAAAGCCGTTTTTCGGGGGTTCCCCTATTTGGAGACGGACCGATTTATCTGGGCAAAATGAGCACGGCCTGAGGTGTGCGACGCCAGGGCTTCTTTCATAGGGATCTGTTCTCGGGTGGATAAGAATTTGCCCAGGCCCCTGACGGGTCAGGGAAGCCGCCAAGAAGCAGCCCATTTCTAGGAACCCCTGCTCTTGGGGAAGAAAACCCAATCCCCCAGTTAGCATGTACACCACTTTTTTGAGCCAATCGCAGGCGGGAAAGCAGCTTCCCTGTAACACAACACCTTCCATTTGCTTGAGAATACCTGCTATTTTCCCTTGTTCATTTTAAAAGGAACTTATCGCTACTGGACATATTTTGATTTTTTTCCAGGGGTCTTAACCAAATGGAAGGCCACAAGTTTCCCGGGGCGCGGGTGGTTTCGTGTGCGCGCAACGTGCTCTCCGCGCTCTCCGGATCGCGCAGGAGATGATCGCGGAGCACTGGCAGCAGCACAAGTACTGGCTCTCCGGGCTGAAATGGCTAGTGGTGGCACCAGAGCACTAGGACAGCTGCATAGGCGACGGAAAAAGTCATGACTATGTGCATGGGGTAGTCAATGACACAGTGTTTAGCTTCATGGGCGATGGGGGAACAAAAAAGGATTGGGATGGATGTGCATGGGGTAGTTACTATGTGACTATGTGTTTCAGGGTTACTACAGGATTGGGATGGATTGGGTGTTCTTGTACTAGCAGGCATGGTCCATGGGAAGTTCGCAGGCGGGGAGCCTGCAGCTTGCATCCTTGCTTGCTTTCATTGATCTCATACCGTTCGAATTACATCCCACACTCGAGGAACTTGGATACTACAACCATGCTAGGAATGCTCTACATGACAGCCGGATTCCAAAGCCAGCAAGAAGATCGATGCCAGAAAGGATATTTGTTTGAGTAGTGGTGCACCGATTTCACCAGCATCACATGTTGCAGCGATTGATTTCTCAAAAAGCTCCGTTTTCCCATGGCTCAGGCATCACCTTAGGATTCCCACTCAGACATTCCCCATAGCGCAGTGTCAGACAATTGTACGTTTGTATGTGTTTCCGAGAGAGATGGGCGTACAACGCCACTGGGCCAGTGCCCGTTTTCAGCGCTGGGTGCATTTGCTGCCCAGGAGCAACGTTGAGGTCGCATCCTGCTATTACTTTGAGCTGACCAGCTATCTCCTGAGGCATCGCCTTTGTACAGAAGGAGCCATGGCAGGCTTGAGGAGGGTGGTGCAGATGTGATCAAACCATCTTGCTGAAGAAATGTCCACCTTGATCAATCCATTTCAAGACAGCTGGTTTCACTCGGTTTGTGTTTCGATCTGTTGCTTGGGTTTTTGTACAGCGCACCCCCCGCGCGAATCCTGCCAGTGGAATGCCACCTTGGGCTCGTGGCCCGGAGGCTTTGCATGCAGAAGCGCTGCAAAAGCGGCTGAGCCAGAGGCTGCGAGCAAAAGCAACGGCGGGGGTGTCAGCGTCTCGCAGCCGCAACATCCCCCCCCCCAGAGAGGAGTCTGGAGGGGCCACCGGCAGGTATGGGAGGCGGAGTTCCACCATGGAGAGGGCCCCACCAAAAAAGGTGCGGCGGGTGCTATTCTTTGCGGTAGAACATTGTAGGACACACACACTCCAATTCCAGGTGTTGATCATGATGCAGCCGTTTCAGACGACTGACAGTGAGCCAAAAGCACATCTTAAGCTTGCACTCAGCGAGGGAGCTAACTCCCAAAGAAAGTTTCTCTGATTTTGAATGCTACAGTGTGTGTGTGTGTGACTCGAAGGAATAGAAGTAGCCGAGGGTGTAGCTTCGTTGTTCCAAGCCATTTAATGCCCTTTGTTGTCATGTACGACAAAACCACACTCTCCAAGCGCTTCCTTAAGTGTACGACCTGGCTCAACAAAGATGATTTGCCTCAACACGAGGGTTCGGATGTGTCATCCTTCTGGTTCCCTTCAACACCAACCGAAAGGAGCCAACCAAAACAGAGGCCTCATGTGGGATGAGCAACTTGAAACCACCCAAAAGGCGGGAGGCATGGCAAAGGCGGGGTTGGGGTTTCCCACCCCAAAAACTGCATCCCTCGCAGGCCTGGCGGGGGTCGCTCCCGGTGAGAAACACTTGCGATCTGAGAGCGAAGCAATAGCATCGCTTTGGCTTTGCTTAGACGCGTGGGTTGCTTCATGTTGCAACCTTTGTTGGGGAGTTGTGATATTTGTTCGCCTGGAATGGATTTGGTCTTGAGTCTTGACCAAATGGGAAGGATTAATTTTGGCGATTGACTTCCCTCCAAAGAATCCTCAAATGGGTAACCTCCAAGAACGACATACTCCAAATTGCAAACTGTCGAAAGGTTTCAACATCCGACCGGATCCGGGTGAGCGCGCTCAGCCCTTTCGACGTTGTCACGCGAGGAAAAAGGATGCCAATGCCGGATGTGTTTGTTTGATCCTGTTCGTCATGGAAACGAGCGGTGAAAACACGAGCACTTGAATCATGGGCGCACAAAAAAGCAGTGCGCGCCACGTTGCTTGAGAAGCAAACAGTCTCAATGGACCCTGTGCTCCAAGGGAGTGCCTCTCCTTGTTGGTGTGCTGATTGCATATCAATGGGCTCTTTGGGTTTGATCTGCATCAATCAATTTGAGGGTGTTCTCTACTAGACATAGGCTTTGTCCATTCTCACTGCAGGACTACATGGTGGAGAATCAGGACGGGCTGGCCGCCTGTGTCTCCAGTGCGACCACCACTAACCATCTTTTCGCTCGAAGGAATCTGCTGGCAGTGAAAGTCAATGTTATGCCTCTATGTTACGCGAGTTGGAAGCTTGAACCTCGGTGGGGGTGTTGTTCATTTCATCGCGCGAGTCAATTGCAGTGGCGCACGAGATGTAGGCTTGCATGCTGGGACTTCTGCAGATCCGTTGGTTTTTGACCGTGGCTCGTGGTGCTCACCTTGCATTACTGTTTCATGTGCTGAAGGGCTGGACGAATCAGCAGCCGCTTCGCTGCACCATGGGAGGATCTCATCATGCCTCCAGTGAAGAAGAAGAAGAAGAAGCGCAGCGAGGAGGGAGACCAGGACGCCGCACGGTATTTTCGAGAGGTCTTTTTCGGCCAAAATGTTGACTTTTCTCTTGATGCCAACCTGCTTTTGTTCGGTAGGAGCCCAGCTGACAAGGAGCGGCTATGCTGCGCAAAGGGCCATGTGGAGCTTTCGGCCATTGGCCCAGAAATGGTGTGGTCTGTCACGAGCCGTGCTTTAGATGGCAAGGTGAAATGAAACAGCATGTGGTTCGTTTTGTGCATTTGAGGCTGGAGTGCGAGATTTTCCCGCACATATGCGCGCAACCGAAAAGTTTGGAAGCGAACCAAGAGCAACACTCGACCTGATTAGACCAACTAGTATCTTAGACTCCAAGATGGGCCCCACACAGACCACGTGGTGTCCATGCTTTTCTAGCACCATTCGTCTCGATAGAGGCGCAAAGGCAGGTGCACGTGCAAGCGCTAAAGGCGCGAGAAGCAAATGTGCGTGAAATTACAAGGGAGTCCGAACATGCAGATTGAGTTGGTACTGGATAGGGTGGATACAATGCCTATCCAGTTCTAACCTTCGGGCTGATTCCCGCGATTGCGCACATCATTGCAGTTCGATACAGGCCTGACGGACTCAGACGACGGAATGTTGAATGTGTCGGAGCGATTGCTCCTCGCCTTGGGGCTGTCCGTCTGCAGCCGGTTTATCATTGGCTGTTCCTAGACTTGGCGAAGGGCATTGAGGGAGCATTGATGTGCATCAGGCCCCCGAACACACCATGCAACTCCAATGCTGTTGGGTGATCACTGTTTCAGCTTGATGTCTCGCGGATTTTTGATAGGCATGAGTGTGTGTGTGTGTGCGTGAGTGTCATCCGGTCTCTGATTTGAGCATCTGAAGTGCTATGAGTGAGCCCTCCCAGCGTCTGACTGATTTTTGCATGTTCTTGAGGTAACAACTACTACCGTGCTGCTTTTGCCGCTTGATTGCGGCGGCTGTAGATTGATCAGTTTAAAGGGCAGTGCAAAAGAGAAGAACACAGCAAACTCGCTGCGCCCGGATTGGATCAAGGCGCTTTGGGATGCAGTGCTTCCAAGGTTCAGGTCGTTTGGCATGCACCAGCATGCTTCAAGAGATTTTGTTAGTGGCCACGCAAAAGTCTACCAGTCGACCCTTCGGGTGAAGTTCACACTTAGTTTCCTTCAGCTGCGGAGCTGTGCTATTCCAGCCATGGCCAATGCTCGTCGCCTCGGGAGGAGCCTCTTAAAGGGCGCAAGCTGCGTGTGCTGTCTTTACTCCGTTGGCCATGCTTGAAAACTCCAGGACTTGGCGCTTACCTCGTTCTGGAATTGCTTTCTCGGATGCGTCGATTGCGATCAAAGTAGCTCGCAGTTCTCAAACCAGGGCTCTAATCTTTAATCCCTGGGGAGATCAGCCGCCTCTGGTATCTGCATCTTGGGGTACTCCAAAACTGGGATCCTGTGTTGCAGTTGGGCTCAGGGTTGTCATTTTTAGACGACCTTCAGCAAAAAGGTATGGTCTCCAGCAGACAGCAAACAAAAATAAGAGATACCTGAGTTCCTGATTGTTTTTCATACATTTGTCAGACTAACTTGGCCAAATTAGGGCCCCGCTAGTTATATAGATGCCGAGCTGGTTCCCAACAAAGGTCCTTTCTGAGCAGTTGGGATCCACTCCAAGCTTGCCCAGGATTTGCTTGGTTGCCGGCGTGGCATCCTGCAGTGAGCCCAGATCGAATCTACGTCTGCGCTTTTTCTCTTTGGGTTGCCTGGAAAACGAACGGATCACCGTGGTGCGGGGCGGGGGATGATATTTCCCTAATTGTGAAAGAAGTTCATTTTCTGTCTCAGACAAATGCTCCATTTCTTCTGATGTTTTTGTTTTTTGTGTGTGTGTCTGCATGTGCAATGTGTGTGTGTGTGTGTGTGTGTGTGTGTGTGTGTGTGTGTGTGTGAAGCGTCCTGGAGCACGGACGGAAATTCCACATTGCAGGGGGACCAGGCGTCTTGCTGCTGACCTGGTCTAACAAAGCTAGGCAGCAAGACGGGATACCGGAATTGGCCATTCCGGCGTACCTGCCACCCTTTCGTGACCTAATGTGTTTCCTCGGTTTACCACTGTTTGCTTCATGTTCGGTTTCGATGATGTGACATTTGCACTGCAGATTGATTTTTTCATGCCCTTTCAGTACAATCGCGTGTCTGCAAGAGCAGCCTCTCGAGATAAGTGTGTTTACCCACGGCCTGTCCGACATGGCGCTGTGGGCTGGACTCGCCACATGCGGGAGCCCCCTGCGAGGGGAAGACCGTTCATACGTTCAAATTCAACCTGCCGTTCAGCGCGTTTGACCACGATCAAGGCTGCAGCTTGAGGTCTTAAGGTATTCCGCACCCAAATGGTGCTCTGCTGGTTTCATGCGCGTTGCACTGCCTGCACTGCCTGCCTTTGAAGCAAGGCTGCACCCACGAGGTTTCAGGTTCCTAAGCTTCATGCGCCAGTGACGAGTTGGTCATACACCAACTCTGCAATTCGTGGGTGTTTATGGAAGCTTTCGTCTCGGATGAGTTCAGTTCAGATTCATGAGTTCAGTTCAGATTCATCGGCATAGCCACATGAGGCACTTTCATGAGGCCACTTGACAGGCACCTCTGAGAACCCCTTTGTGCTCGCATGCATTTGCACCATTGACGCATTTTTGCTCGCATGCATTTGCACCATTGACGCATTTTTGCCGCAGTTGTGGTTTTGTTTCACCCCTTTCCAACCTTCTCTCTCCCTTGCGAGATGGCTGGACACCAGCTCTATGACATGATGCATTCGCTCCTGCACAGCATTGCGACCGGCACCGCGTCCGGCTCACCAGGCAATTGTGGACCGAACTTGCAGCTGTCATCCCAGATGACGCAGCCCATGAACCTTGTACCGTCACCCAACTCGCAGACGGCATCCTTCACACCTTTCCCCATGATGCCCTACGGCGGCCTCTCGAACTTTGGCAACCCGATGGCCATGATGCCCTACGGTGGCCCTCCCAATTACGGCAACTTGGCACCTGGCACCATCATGCCTTTCATGACTCAGAGCAGCATGCCATCTTCACTGCCCGAGCCTCAGCCGGCGCGCGCGCCCGAAGCTGCCGCTGCGGCTCCTGCCGCTACCTCCTCAACCAACCACCCTCCCCCGGACACTCGGCACCATCCCCACTCTCGCAGATCCCGTTCCCGCCACAGACAGCACCGACACTCCCACTCCCACACCAGCCACCATCGCAGGCACAACAAGTCGCACCGACGACACGACACCCGACGATCCCGCAGCTACAGCAGGTCACGTTCCCTTTCCCGACACCTCCACCACTCCCGACGTGCACACCACTCCACTGTCTCCCTCCGCTCCCGCTCCCCCCGACACAGGTCCCACCATCGACACTCCCCTGCACCCAGAGCCACGACTTCGCACCGACCCACTCACACTACTCATGATTCCACCTCCTGGCGCACTTCCGGGAAGGATTCCAACAAGTCTCAATGGTCCTCCTCACACTGGCGGAACCAATCGTGGGGACACCCACCACAGAACAAAAACCGCTGGGACATGCACCACCATGGCGCCAGCCACACCGGCCACCGAAACAACCAGGACAAACGATCGTCCTGGTCACTGCAGCACCATGGGCAGCAACCCCACCCCACTTCCCGCACCGGCCACCACAACACTAGCTTGCCCCCTCACCCAGCACCTGCGGCGGCCTTCACTTCCACTCCCCCTCCCCCTCCCCGACCCACGCCGGCTACTCCTCACCCTCCCCAACCCCCCTTCGACAACACCGATGATTTGGATCCCCCTCCATCGGAGGCGGACATCAATGCCACCACCACTTCCGACAACCGGTGGCTTGATCTATGGAGAAACGTCATGGACACGGCCAAGACTGACCCGCTGCGAGTTCCCACGCCTAGGGAGTTGGGGGAGCTGGACCCGCTTCCAGCCTTGGACATCTCCAGGATAGAACAGACTAAGGCCATTTTGATGAACCTGGACCCTGCTTTGCCACCTTCACATGCCGATCTCCTCGCGGAATGCTGGGAACTGCGAACCATGGACACGGATGATCCCATACCGTTCGATCCCAGCTTCTACCACCTCTTGGGACGGGAATCACACGGCATGGTGTTCGCAACCACTTGGTTTCCCCGACCTCATCCTTGGCCAGTTGCTGGCGGAGACCCGGAAGCTGGATCCGGCACGGCCTCCCATCACGCTGTCATGTATGTGCACGGCACCACCCCGGATCGAGTGCGCCGCATGTGCCATGAGAACATGATCCGACCCGCTGCTTGGAGGCCCGAGAACCATGACTACCCGAGCTTTGGATGCTACGCTCAGGCCACCCCCACGGCATGCACGCCCGACACGCTCGGCCAGCTCTTGCAGAACTTTACAATCGGAAAGTCTCAACTCGGCGCCATCGCTTTTGGGGAACTACCCTGGGCATCGGCTATTGATTTAAATCAATAGGTTTCTTGTTCTATTGATATGCCCTTTTTTTCAATAAGAAACATGTGGTTCTAGGCGACCAAAATCAAAAGCAAGATTGCGAAACAAATCAATTAAACGTGTCCTCATTTTTACATGGTAAATCAAAAGCAAATATCAATAAGGTTTGCAATGCGGCACACCCCTTTTTTCCACAATGGCAGTGTAGGAGCTTGTCCCCCTTTCAGCAAGGGCATGCCTACAGAAGCAGGAGAAGGTGCTTTCTTGTCACCCTTTCAGCAAGGGCATTCCTGTAGCAGCAGGAAAGGGATGGGGGCCTGCCACCCTTTTAGCAAGGGCATTTCCTGCAGCAGCAGGACAAGGAGAGCAGCCTGCCACCCTTTTAGCAAGGGCACCCTCTATAGCAGAAGCTTGTGCAGTCAATAGTCAGCTGGCTTGTCCCTCTTGGCCAAAACCTGGCCTGCTGAGTTGCAGGTGAAGAAGAAATTTATATTTCACTGCAAGCTTGGAGCTGAGCTTGGAGGATTTTACCCCAAAGGCAGTGGAATGTGTCAACACACTCATTCTGCCCACAAAGTGCTCTGCCCTGTAATTGGAATGGATTCTATAATTCAAATATTTTGAATTCAGGATGAGATGATGAAAGGAATGGAATTTGTGAGTGATGTGAAAGAGCTTTCTGCCTTTTAGCAAGGCCCACTGGTTCAGATCATGGTAGTTGCTGAAGAACCTTTTGGCAAGGTTGGCGGCTTGCAAGAACTCCTCAGAAGTAGGAAAAAGCCCAATTGCATCATACAGATCAGCAATCTGAATCAATGCTTCTAGGCAGGCCAGCATGGCTTGATGAATGGGGTCATCTTCTGGCAGAGCTTCTCGCAACACCTGCAACAGACAGGGCAGCAGGTGCTTAGTCTCAGCAGCCTTTGCCTCAAGGCACGCAAAGCTTTTGTGAGGCTTGGCAGCATCAGGGCAAGTCATGGAGAGGCGAAGGTTGGTCAACCTGGAGGAGACCTGATTTTGGACATAGAGCTCCTTAATTCTGCCAAACAGCTTTTGGAGCCTTTGGCTGGGTGGCACTGCCTGCCTTGCTTTCACACCATCAAAGTAGCACAAGTAATGGATCAAAGAGCCTGCAAGGTGTGAAGCAACTCCTCTGGAGTACAGGATGTGGAGGGAGTCTCCTCGCACCATGGCTGCGCTGATGCCTGGCACCTGAAAAAGTGGATGGGCACTCCTTTTAACAAGGAGGGCTTGCTCAGGGGAGACATATACAAACTTTTGATCAGCTTGCCTGAGAAGCTTGACACTCTTCCCATCAGGACACTTAATGCCCTTGAATGCAGGCTTTTGGGCATCGCATTCTGCACAGGGGAATTTGTTTTGCCAGTGTGGCATCTTCAAGATGTTTGAGAAGAATTCTTGGTCACCCTGTATGCTGTAGATGCAAGCTCTGTGGTTGCCTGGTGTCAAGGGCAGGCCAGCCAGCTCTGCCAGTGAAGGTGGCAGGCCATTCCCATATGGATCTTGGGAAGGGTGCGTGCCTTTTATCAAGGCTGCAAAGCTCCAGGCAATCCAGTCATGAAGAGGCCCCCAAGTTGTGGGCACAGAGCAGTTCTTTGGAAAGGCAACCAGGAGCAGGTGGGCTGCTAAGCTCTCCTTTTGGCTGAGCAAAGGGCCCCATGACCATGTCATCAGGCTGTCTCGGTTTTGGTATTCCACACCATCACCATGAACAAAGATAGGGCATGTGTGGGAAGGATCCCTGACCCTTTTACCAAGGGTGATTGGTGGGGCAAGCCTGGGGTCCTTGGACCTCTCAGCACATTGCCAAAAAGATTCTGCTTCATTGAAGCAGAACAGGTCCAAGAAAACCTCTGTGTAGTGCTCAGCAATGTTGCTGAAAAGAATGTGGGGAAGAAACAGGGAGGCTTCTTCCGTGGTGTGCTTCCTGGTGTTGGGGTCAAGGACATCAACAGTGACTGGCATTGGGTCACATACTTTGATGTTTTTGCAAAAGTGGCTGACCAAGTCCCTGTGGGCACTGCCAGGGTTTTGGCCAAAGTTACCACATTTGGCCAAGGCCATGGTTTCAGCAGAGGAGCTTCCTTCCAAAATGGCCAAGTGTGCTATCTCTGCAGCCTGGACTGCTGATATTCTTCCCAGGGACCAAAGTTCAAGCAGCCTTGTGCACAAAGGGCTGGACTTGTTTGGCTCAAGCTTT